AACCGAACCAGAATAACGAGACCCTAGGCTGGACCCAAACACATGTAGGTTTCCCCACCGACCCAACACTTGTTCAACCACGCTAACACACTAAAATCCCTCGGACGACACCTAACAGAGATTTAGCTTGACTTAGCTGATTGGTTGTCCTTCCGCCTTAAGTCTCGATCAACCTCGGGACCTAGTCACTTGGCCTGACGAAGCTTTTGTGTCAAAAGCGAAACGTTGCCCAGCAATAAATCTACTGATTGTCGCCAAACTTTTTCGAAAACCCACAACGTCTTCCTTAAACACTTTTATTGCATCAGGGAATTTCTTTAGTTGACATCTTGATGATATTTTGATCACTTTGATACGACCTTTGAAGAACCGTTTGGACCTTAAGGCTATTTTATGATAACAGTTTTTACATACTCCAGTGTAATGAAAAGTCCGGTTTTTCAAAGGAGATTTCAGACAGGCAGTATTTTCTACCAGGAGTTCCCCGCGCAGGGTTGTGAGCTGCATTGCTATCTATGTTCATTTTATAGTGAAATAAAGGCTGTTGTCAATCATAATCGTACTACGCTTCAAAACACAAGAAATTAGAGGAGGAACAGGTAAATTGCATATCTCTTCAGGTGGCTGAGAGCCAAGTACATTTACAAATTAACACTCGATAAAAATTGAAATATTGGATTACCCCTTGATTGCGGAATTTCCGCTTTTCAAAGTTATATCCGTATATTTCAATCCGATCCTGTGGAAAAGTAAGGCAAGATATAAAACGGGTTAAACTGTCCTCCTTTCAGAGACGTACCACCAGTGGCAATCTGAGGAAAGTTTCAGAATAAATCTAATAAATTTAGGGGTATGTTCACGGCTCCATTATTAGAGGTTTCCATTTAAGGTTAAACGATGGCCATTTTCTCCGCTCACAAATTATTCAAGATTGGTTACTCCGTGGTGAATCATAGAAAAAAATACTAGGATCCGATGGTTCCAAATATGTCAAGTTTTTGCTCATCTACCTTGGAGGAACGAGGAGTTAACCTCCAATGCCTTGAAGGCTTGGTCTTAAGATAGGCAACGATGTCAAAAACGTATAAGGTAAATGGCCACACACTGTGATTTGCGAATCGAGGCCAGGTAAACTATATACTGTTCAACATAGTTTTGTCCATAGGTTTATCAGAAGGTGAAGCCGCAGCGATTTAAGGCGTCATTGCACACTTGATCCTGAAGTATATATCCATGGTTATTCTCAATTCTGATATCGGTCCCTGTCGAAATAACTAGCAGTTTAACTTCCACATAGTTCATAGGTTAGCCCTATCTCTATCTCGGCACAGATTGTAACCTAAGTTTACAATTCATCAGTCCTGTCGAGCCTAGTCATGTGATGCAGCGTAAGAATTGGACAGCTGACATGCTTCCTGCAGACGGTAAAAACTATTTTTACAACACAGTATGTGTTGCCACGGTTAATAGTATTTCATTAAGTTGGAAGATGGAATAGCTTTATTCGTTTTCGGTCCTTGTCATTCACTGCCTATTATTTAGACAAATTTAGTCTCCTTCATTGAGATGAATACATGAGGATGTTTGATCTCCATGAATACGGATTTAGTCGAGAATGAACATCTGCTGATGGGTTTGAAGGACACATGTGCAAATGTACTCACATAAGCCAAATCTCCTTAAATCGGACTTTTGCTGGTATGGTTAATTAGATTCAGTTTCGATCAAATGAAATGGGTGTACTGATGTATTACGAAAATACAAAGAAATCACGAACCTCAATCTGAAGCAGAAGCGCATTGTCAGCCTCGTGCGCCGCAGCCTCGAGAGACTCTCGAAATTTCCGCTTCTAGAAAGTAGTTCGGGGAGCAGAAAATGGACCAGACGAAAACGAGAAATTCAGAGGTGTAAATCTTTGGGCAAATCTTCCTGTGTAACACAACCTTTGATTATTATTTATTTGTTTATTTATTCACTTATATTGAACTTGCTTCCGTACACCATTGGACATGAAACCAGATGATATTACCTATCATAAGTTGACAGAATTTCTGACGCCGTTGAAAAGGAAATGCTACTTCAAGATGAAAACTAGTGGATACCAAGCGAACTCATCCGGTCTGGCGTTCTACGAACACTGTTCCAACACCACCTTCAGGAAACATCCCATGGGTTCGATGGCCCACTGATCTGTACGAAACCTCCACCATGTTTAGTTTCAGTTGCCTGAATGTGATCTCGGCACTGCGATCCTCAAACAGATGGGCAGTGCCTTTGCTGACCAAGTTATAAATCACATGATCAGTGGCAAAAAGAACTCTAGCTTCGTCTCTCGTGAAATACAAAAACGGATCGCTCGAAACTACCTTAAAAGACTAGAGAACGAAGAGGTTAAAGGTGCATCACTGTGAAGAATACCAATTATCTTCTGACAAAAAATCGATTATTGAGGACTTTTTGACACTTCATCAAGAGACCCTAAAATGAGGTAGTGTATACTGTATTTTCCGGAAACGGCGTCATCGGCTTGAATCTATCTCCAGGTGCATGTTCTCATTCACTGTCTGTACTAGTACTGCGGATTTTTCGATATTTTATGATATGGCTTGAATACCTACCTGAAGTGATAGCTGCCATTTCGCAGCTCATCAACAATCCGGAATTCTCTTAACTTCATAACCCACCAAATGATTTGAAACATTCATCCAATGAAAATACATGCGTTGGTCTACTTGTCATGCCGAAATTTGTCTGATCGCGGATTGCTGTTTTCTGTCTTTATTGGATTTGGAAAAGTGTTCACAAGGTAATATATTTTCGAGACTTGGGAATACTGTAGCAAGAAATCCAATGGCGATTGATTTTCAAGCGCCGTGATCGTTACAGCACGACCAACTAGCACCCAATGTACAGTAAGTTTTAAAAAAAAAATTGAATGTCAAAAAGTACCAAGCAGAAGTTCACGGCTGAACTAACCAAATGGTAGGTAAGATTGTGCGGTCCGAGTAAACGTCAAAGCATGGCTAAATGGAAAGGAACTGTTGTTGCCCCTCGGTCTGTCTACCTCAGTAGAAACTTGGATAAGCTGACACACTACTGAGTGACTGGCGGTAACGAAAACAACCCCGTACGTATAAGCATTTGATATGGCTCCAACGTATGTATTTTCAGTAAAAATACTAAGTCAGTACACCCGAGAAATTCAATAATTCTCTAGTTTGCGCTCAGCATGTGTGGTAGTGATGAGGCACCGTCATAGGCACCGGTGGATTGTAGGACAAGATACAGGTTGGACGGGTGCTGACTACTAATTGATGCACAGCTCTTCCATACGTGTGTCCGTCTTTGTGACTTTTTTAGGGAACATAGGCATACGGCAGAATAAGTGAGAGCTATTTCGGTGAGGCCAAAGAGTAGATAGACAGCTTTTTCGAGTAAATATACGTATGTAGGTATAACTTGCATATATATATATATATATATATATTGGAGCCCAGCTGAATGTCTCGTTTATTATGCTTATAAGCATGATAATTCTTTCCTATCTAGGGGACTTTGTCTTTATAGCTACTGTGACCTGTGAAAATAATTTACCTTTTGGCATTTGAAACAAAGATATATCACGGAGTTTCTATTTTACACAAACCAGTCACTTGATACCGATCGATTGCTTTAGTAAGAATGATGTGGAGTAAAATTAAAACCGTATCTTCTGAGTTACTGTTTGGTCGGATAAATGAATAAGAAATGGTAAAAGGCCTTTACCTCCGACTTCACGTTGCATACTAATTTTGTAAACGGATAAGTGAATGCCATTTTACGGCGACGGATATTTCCCTTTGAGGAACTATACTTTTTTTCTTTCAAACTGTAACTGTCTTATGATAGGGGGTTAGGGGAAGCGATGAATCAAACAAGGCAGCACTAAGGTAAGCGCACCCATGAGGGTGAGGTAACAGCGTGATTTACAATGCCCTATCCCAGTTTTCTCATTCAGGAAATCGACAGATACTTACAAGCTACGGCTTGCGTATCATTTGCTATCAATATGTCTGCATATTCGTGGTCAAACTGAGCTTTCGGTCTGCTGATCCGGTGGGAGGTGAAATGTTTGCAAAGTTTGAAATTTGACTTACAAGCGCCTTGGCCCCATGCAAGGAGCCATTATCACTGCGAGTTTGGGTGGATGGTTACCCAGCTCTGTCCAAGTCTGCGTGTATTTAATAAATGCGACGTAACTGGTTGACTGGAGATTGGTTAGTGTGCAGTTCAGTTGGTCCGTCTAGAATTTGTGTCGCGTTGCGGCCCGGTCGGCTCGCATTTGTTTGTTTCGCAGTGTACCTCCTATTAAATCCTTCGGATAATGTTCGGATCGGCCCACTTGCTCCCCTAGTGAAATGTGTTCCTACCAGTCTTCCTGTGATGTGGTTAATCAGCTGGGCACCTTGAATTTTTACGTTTTTTATTAACGGTACTGTAATGTTTGCCACTTTTGTTGGATTCTGGTCTAAGTTTCTGGTTGTTGTCCGCGTCGCATCTTGGACGACTAGTTACACTACGTACCAGCCAACCTGTAAGCACACAGCCATGTTACAGCTATCAAATATATACAAAGGCGGACGGAATTGGGGGTGATTACCCATCCACATCGACCCAAACCGTAGCCCACCGTATCCCACACCGACCGTATCTATTTGCCTGACGAACAAAAACTTATGCGAGCCAATTTTTGAGCTCAGCAAACAGATCAACTGCCACCTCATCATTGGCCAACTTTTCAAACACTACCACACTTCTTTGGCTGAAGCAGCTGCGATATGCGGTCCTCTGCAATGCGAAGCAGGTTTTCTCACAGCCAAACCCATCCGCTACTAAGTGCGAGTGGTTTGCCCATCGCAGACCAGTAACTTCGTTCAAAAACCGTCTAAATCAATGCAAAGCGGATGTTTCCAGCGGAGTCAGGCTTTACTTTGGAGAAACAAATGGTAGCTGTCACATGGCTGGTGTTCTCTCCGTCACTTTATGGAATGCAAAGCTTAGTTATCCTAATTGGAAATAGTCAGCAGAATATGAAACTCAGAGCATTGATTTGACTTGCAACCCATTTAACAAGAAAGAATGTCCCCGTCTATGAGAGCTACCTGACGCTCAATGACGCTCCTTGTCTAGTATTGTTCAAGATCAGATCCAACAGTATGCAGTGAAAGGTGTGTAGCTGCCTTTGAAAATACGCTATACTAATGACGAGCTGAAATCTAAAGCATAGTTTTTTTCTGAGCGATGTATGAATTGCTGAAGTTAACTGTCTTTACAACCAAAGCTATACTGCTATCAAATCGGTCTCCAAGCTCCAACCGAGAAATACGTTGTGACCATTATCCCAGAAATATAAACATTTCATCAGTATTCACAATTGGTCTGCTTCCCGGAGATGTCGAGCCTGCATCTCATATAGCGTGACTTGTTTGTCACACCAGGCAGTGCAGAAACGACACGCACTATCTGCTGGTTGTGATTCGTCTGTGTGTTCGAACACGATAGCAACATGAACAGACGAGTATATAACAAAAGGCTGGTTTCCAAACCTGAGGATAAGTTTCACCCTTACTAGAGAAATAGATCAGTCCTACTGGAACTGATCGTAGATGTGTACAGCAGCCTGTTTTACTTCTCAACGCCCACAGATATTGCAGATTTCACAGTGAGACAAACCAAAATTGGAACTCACGATATTTTTCATTTGCTGCACGCTGCCGCTAACGTATCTCCGCAATCTTCCGGCACGAATGCGACTTATAGTTGAATGCGTGGGATCCAGAAACACTACATAATAGTGAGTTGCTATTCTGGTGATAGGATCAAACTCAGCATATTTTCCAGCCTGATTGTAGCAGATCATTGCAGGCCATTCAGGATATCCTAAGAAAAGATACGTGAAACATGTAGAAGTATTCATCCAAACTAGGGTTCTGTTGTGGTCTAGTTCTGAAAGTGGCCAGAAAATGCACTTAGGTTTCCTTGTTATATATTAGTGAATCATCCAACTACTGGTTTTAGGAAATATCTCTGGTTCATCGAGTCATCTACTCAACAAGCAGACCAGTAACCTTTTACTGACAAAAATTCTTCGCTTTCGGAATTAAATACTGAACTAGCATGAAAACAAAACAACTTCTCCCTTAAACATAATTTAAAAGTTAAGAATGGACCACAAATCAAAATTTATAAGAACAAGTCTGTTTAACAAAGACGAAAAACCCATATCGTCAACAGACAATCAAGTGCAACTACTGCATCAAGGTCTAAATAGGACAGATGGTTAGGGATCGTTACACCAGAATCGAAGATCATAAGAGGAAAATAAACAGGCCCCCGAGAAAAGCAGATGGATATCGAGCGTTATCGAAAAACGTTCCACAACTGCGAAACATGAATGGGACAAAAAAGTAAATTTAGAAAATATCGAGGTTTTGAGGATAGGAATACTGTCCGTATCGCAGAGACTGATGCCCGAGTCGGTAGAAATCGCCAAACATCCCAGTGTTAACAGAAGAGAAGGCGTGGAACTGGCAAGCGTGGGGAGAACGGCTTTGATGTGCAGTCATCTGAATACCACTTGACCTCACTCCCAACCCCAACTAAATTGTCGCAGCACTCCACAAAGAACAACGAAATCTAACAACGGCAACCGATTGAAATGGAAGATAAAGGAAACAAACCCAATCAGAATTAATTCAAACCCCCACCCCAATCCGTCAACGCAGGATTTTTACAACCACATTAATGGACAACAACCGTTAGTTAACACTCAACACTGATCTAGTGTGGTAATGTGAAGAGACCTTACTGATTGATTCTCCGTCTGCTTAAAGCCTGGCCGGCTTGGTGACCTGTTCACTTGGCCCGATGAAGCTTTTGTGTCAAAAGCGAAATGTTGCCCAAATAAAAAAACTACCAATTGTTTACCAAACCTTTTCCAATTTATTAAAGGCCAGATACCGCTTAAAAAGTGTGAAAGAGCGCTATCCTAGTTGTCTGAATGTTAGTGATACAAAGTTTATAAGCAGTGCATTTTCTCAGCTATTTGCAAAAAATTGTTCCTTTACAGCCCCAGTCACGTTCCGATCCAAATTCCGGATGTTGCATCAGCACTAATAGGGGGCGAGGACCGGAAAATCAAAGACCGTTGCACTGTTGTGCTCAGAAGCGGTAAAAACATAAGTTGGAATAGGCTTGACCGGCCTCTCATTTTTCCGTCCACCCCACTCTCGAGGCCTTTTTAAAATATTAGTAGGTCATAAAGACAACCATGTTATACTTCATCCCTTGATTCTGTAATGTTCTTTTCAACTGTGAGCAGTACTGTGCTATGTATTTTGCCTAAAGGGCGTTACCGCGGCCGAGCTTGTTCAGTGGGCTATTCCTGTAATGACATCGCAATTTATCAAGAGGTCATTCAAAAATTCCAACCGGCCACATATTTTCACCTGTCACACTTGGAGTGATTACTCAACAAGTGACAACAATATAGGAGATTAAGGCAATTTATAAAGGATACTTGTTTATGGTTTAAGCAGATGCAGTGACAGAAGGCAATGGCTACATTTCTTCATGTGAATGAACTATTCTTTTTCTGACCTATTTCGCTGACCTGATGTGTAGTTCTACCGCTACTGCCATAAGTGAATCATACGAATCAACTTGGGGGTAAATATACCCAGCAATATTCGGCAAACTCCATTTTAGAATGGCAAATTTGTCTACTTTGCCGACATCACATCATCTGGAACTTCCATGGGCGTATTGCACTGATTTCTACAAATATTTTGGTTAACACCATGTTATCAGCGTAAACAAGGTGGAAAAATGTGACATGAAACAGCACCGGAGACAAATAACAGTTTGCGAATCTGAGCAAAATTTTTTCAAACCGGTATTAATATTACTTCAAAATGGTTTTATTTTATATTCACTCGCCTTCTTCAACCTATGCATACACAGCCAATGAACAGGATTTCACTAACCTTGAAGTTTGGCCCAAACAACTGAACCCACCGCGAAACTTGTGTAAATGCAATCGTTGTAACTTTCATCCGGAATGGGACTTTGCGGGATGTCGCACGGATTCTTACTTTGACTGTAACCCTGTGTCTCATCCAAGACCTGGTTAGACTTGCGCGAACTGAGAGCACAGTTCCAGCCGACATCGACCAAACTGGGATCATGGACATCAGATAAATAACGCCACTTCTTGCACAGACAACATTCGACCCATGTTCCTTAATGTAAACAAAAACGCCGTTCTGCAATTCTGTATCATAAAATTTCAGCGATGGATTTTTATCACATATTCTGACCGATTTTCCTTGAATGCATTCATAAATTATATGGCTAGATCGTGGCTAAAGCTAATTTCACCAAAAAGGTTTTGCCAAATTAGCGCTGAACTACACCGGCAGTCCATGGTGTTAAACCAGACTAAACACTGTGAAAGCTCTACTCAGGCGGCTCATTCCTGAGAAAAGTTTTAGTCAGAGTCATTGGTCACTACATTTAGATAAAAATTAGCTGACGAGCAATTTACGAGAAGATAAAGAATTCAAAGTTCCCCTGTAATTTAGGAAAAACATGCTATTGAAAATACGAAAGTGGATGAGGCATCTTTATATAAGTGCACGTCACTGGGTCAAAATGCTCAGTTTATTTCTTTTGACCCGCTTTGTTCACATTGGTTAACAATAACGGTACGTAGTTTATGAGGTACCGTCGTACCTCGTTGAAAACAATCTTCTTCCTGCGACTGTCAGGGTATCAGTGTTAAGCGCTTAAAATCACACACCACTAGTCACAAGACCTACTGCTAACGGGCTACTCTAGTGACAACCTACCACGGATATATTCAGGAATCTGATCACAAAATTACCAAGGTGTTTTCGGGTTAACTGATAGGTCGTCAATATGAAATCATCTGTCACGCTCAGTGCCTCCATTGGGACTAATCAGTAAACAAAGTAGCCGGGACAGAGAGGCTTACTGAAAACCTTAGTTATCTGATATTCCTCGGCTACCCCAAGAATGACAAGAATGGACAGTTTCGTAGGACTACTTGTTGGTCTTTCTTCGCCGGACACCATGAATCAGGTGACTAAGGCTTGTGGACTCTAGCGTTTTGCAGTATCAACGAAAATTCATACAGTAGAACGTGTGAAATCAAGAAAGCGGACTATAAGATTTTATTAGTACTTTATAGATTTTTTACAGCGCAAAGCTCAATGAGCAACTTGTGCGGACATCGAATGACTGGAACAGTTACGCATTTTGTGCATCCATAACACCTGAAGTTATGATATTTGCAGAAGTTTATCTAAATTACCGCCTCACGATCCAACACAAGATTGAAAATGGAACTTCCAGGCCGCAATGCGAAAAACCTGCGCACTAACGCTCTTCCAAAAAACTCCAGTATGTAACCTCCTAACATGCAGTGACTTACCCCGCTGGATGAACTAACTCCAGGTGGTCGGAAAATTTACGATGAGCACACACTCCATGATAATCGAGACCTTTTCACAACGCAACAGAAATTGTATTCAAACCTCTTTTGACCTCAAAGACAAAATGCTATTTTGTCTTGAACTCAGCTGATTGAGAGGTCACGACGCATCATGTGAGCCTATCCAAACACATCTGCAACACGGCAGAGCAAAACGAAGATATCCTACCAAATGAGAGGTGACAATTAGGCCTGTGCAAAGTGGTCTGTGAAACGGAACCGATTTGGCAGGGCTTCTAAGATTATTTCGTTACCGGTTGTGGACTTAGCTGCTCTTGCATTACTTTCAGTCTGGCAGTTGCGTGGACCAGAGTGATAGCAGAACACTGTGACCCAGGTAAACGGTTATCAGTATTTGGCGCATTTCCTGGCGAAGCATTACCAACCACCGCACCGCACAAAGCTGTATGAAGCGTTGCATGGGAGCGCAACACGTAAGCAGAGTAATACATGCACCAAAGGGAGAGAATTTAACTGTTCTAAGCTTATCTGGTCTTTGCCTGGAAGGTTTAAAATTATGCCGTCTAAATTGAAATGTAGCTGCGAAACAACTGGGTTCTGTGCCTTCTGGAACGGCACCGAGAGCTGTTGCATATCAGAACCCAGCTCCTTCATGTCTAAAAGCATCTTAAAGTTATCTTTTCCCGACTGCGCGCCAGTAATGTGCCTAACGGATGGATAAACCTTCGAATATTGAGTTAAAGCACGGAGAGTTTAAAGGACTCACTGGAACTCCTAATATGGCAAAACTGTTGGAACAAGTATGCAGACCAGCGAGCACTGACATGAAAACGGAGGTCAGTACTGCATATGCCCCGGGACTTGCACTGGCTAGAGAGACAGGGTGGACAAAACTCTATACTCAACAGGTTGAAAATAGTTGTCGTATGTAACTGCAGCATCGTAACCAAAAGCAATTCTTGCAAAGTATGCTGTCTACCCTCAGTTTGCTGAATTGATTACTCCCAGAAAGTAGCAGCTTGTGGGTTGTCGCACCAGGATGAAGTTGTCATTTAAATACTGTCCACAAAGTGTAACAGGAAGTTATCCCTTCGTTTATCTCCGCCGCGCGGCACGTCAAGCTCTCAATGACAGTACAGTTGACTGTTTCGATTAAGTCTCGTGTCCAAATGTCCCACTACCTGACTGAACTGCATGGGTGGAAAATCAGACCGTGCATTCTAACATGAGGAACATCAATGCCGCGCTAAGAACTCACAAATCATCAAAACGGGAACTCAGAAGATTCTTCGGACTACAGTTATCACCACTTGAATGACAAGATGAATTAAGAATGGATTCGGTTGAACTGTGGGTAAACAGAATGACAGTTTTTCGGGCAAACTACTAACTGGTGTCAGTGAGCAATACAATACTCATAAGGGTGCTGAAATTCATCGACAGCCCACGACCGGCTGTGTTCACCCACTTACCTTTGTGCAAATAAGCAATAATATCAAGCTACTACTCAATAGAATGACCAGGCTACTTGGGGTTTATTTCAGTAGCATCTCAATTCACAGTTAAAACAACGAGACTCACGTATGCCACCAGTTCAATGGTTCCAGTTAAGCGAATATCACCATAAAGGGGAAATAATAGCATAACTTCTCGACATGAATGTGCTGCAGGCCGCCTCATGTTTCAGTCGCTACGATATTCTAGATATCGCGATACATGTATATTCGTAATGCATTACTCATAAGGTTGCTGAAATTTGTCGACAGCCCACAATCGGTTTAACTCTTCTTGGGGCTCATCAGGTAGGCGCAGTCCCCGAGTTTCTGTCAACCTTATATTTTACTTGAAACCAAGTTGCACGAAATTATTGTCACTGAGTATTTAGTTTTACAAAAGGATTGATGACAAACAGGATTCTGAACCGCCAATTTGTCATGTGTTTTTTAATTGCTCCACATTCAGCTTAGGAGTCTCAAGGCTTAGAGATATACATACGAAACAGAGGGTAAGCAGCGCGACCACCATTGTGCCATATCCATGACGATGATCGCTTAAGCCACAAGATGATCCGGGAACTTTCTTATTTTTGGTCTTATTTGCGTTTTGCTTTTCATATCAGGGATGGCCATAAGCATGTGTTGTGCTGGAACAAAACCTGTACACTTTGCTATCCAGCTACTGTGGTCTGTGTGCGTAGTGATCTGTAACCGAGGGCCTGAGCACGTTCGTCTCGCCGAAAAGCATGCGGCTATGGAAAGACAAGCTAACTGATGAGCGAAATCCAGATCACCCTCACGACCGCCGGCCGAAATTTGGCCATCATATTTTACTTGGACATGAACAGAAATCCATAACTTCCAGTCGTGTCTGAATCGAAGAGGAATTTTCGCGAGAAGTTAAAATATTTCTCAGAACTCAGAACTTAAATTATGCAGCCTCAGTTCGATAGCCGATGGGATCGGTATAGTGTCTCGCTAAGAGAACTATGAGACAAAGTATAAAGCATCACTAAGTACGCATAGGACACATTGCTGATTAGTCACTCGTTCCAAAATGCTTAAGTGTTTAAATGATATCCGTGAGATCATGGGCTGAAACCCGTTGGAATTTCGTCAGCTGCGCACTGTTGATGACTTCCGTTAAGGATGAAGCAGCTGTACAGTGCTTCTACATTTTTTCAACCCAGATTATGGTGTCAAAATTATCCGCTTACCTGGCAGTTTCGTATTTTCCACCTCAGGTGTTGTCGCCCTCGGCTGAGTAAGAGATTTTGATTCGCCTTTGGTTCGTTTGGTCTTTGTTTGTTTCTCAGGCGTTAGTTGAATTCTGAAACGCTTTGCAAGTTCCTTCAGCGTTTTTACAGCATTTTCTAACTGTTTTGGTGACAGTATACCAGGACTGCATCTTTTCTGGCCGGATACTCGTCGAGAGGCCTGTAAGTCAATGGGTCTAGTCAAGTTGTCTTGTTGTGCTCTAGTAAGTTTCTGGCGAGAATTGTCGCGTATATATTGTTCAAACAGAACACGTGTGTCTGTCACAGCAACTAGCTGGAGTATGTTATCGACGAAACTATCGAAAGAGCACTCGCCCATCACCTGAAAGACGATAGTTCATGAGAAGGACTAATCAACGTTCTTAGACAGTAAATTAAACAGAAACTGAATACCTATCTGGACCAATCTCATAATGATACCCCACTTTTTTTTATCAAAAGTAGAGTTCGAATCCGATTAAAAGTCAGCTTAATTAGTGCAAAAACATGGTTTCTGTGCTCAGTCAATTTGGTGTTGACGGAACCGAACAAGTGCCTCAAGCCAAGAGAAAGGCCAGTAAAATGATGGTGATTATACTGCAAATTTCGCTGTTCCATAACTGTTGCAAGTAAACAAAAACGGAACGGATGCAATAGCACTGATATCCCTTCTGAATACGTCGTATAAGGAAGAGCTCATAACACTGTACAACTGTTGCCTTTTGTCCCGTTTCTTTTACACTGCCAAAGTCAGTCCAGCGTCAGCAAAAGATGTGATGCAAAAAAAGACCGAAGTGGCTGCGGAATGGGCTGATCGGCCAAACTACTCAAAAATTACCAGTATGATTAAAGTAAACCATAACAGCAGTTCCATTGTTCCAAACAATTTAGACGCACGCTATAACAACCAGAAGACCTGCGGTAGATTTAGCCTGGCAACAAGCACCGAATGAAGAGCACATTTAATACTGTTGCATTCGTCCCAACAAGCAACGATCCATGCAGAAATGTACTACGTTGTTGATTGTACCTCAGCTATTAGAAAAGCTGGTGGGTCAAAAACTAACACCGACTTCGTACCACTTGAGCGCCAGGCGGCCACAACTACAAGCGTCCTCTCTCTTGATTATTTTTGTTCATCCACATGAAGTAATAAATTGGCTGATCCTGATATGGAACCCACAGATATAGAGTGGAATGGCGTCAGTCTCTATACTTTGTGTGCTCATGATGAAGTCTAATAGGTCGCGTAAGTAACCTAAGTGCATTTTGCACCTGAAGATAAAAGGTCATTCCACGCCAGATACAACCGTCTCAGGTTGGACACTCGATGCTGCCTCAAGGTTTTCTCTCGTCCACAGCGTCCTCAGCCACAGCTATGGCTTTGACCGCATCAACTTTGCTTTATGTCGATCTACTCACTCTCTTATTGTCACCCTTCCAACTAGCACGGTGGTCGAGACCGTTGGTCATTGCCCGGTTTCCGTCATTAGGCAAGTAGCTACCATGCAACAACAATTAATATTGCTAGACCGAATTTCAACAAGTCACAGTGGGCTTGTTGAAGTTTGTTGATCTCACTTATGCACTCATGAGAATCAGCCAGCCCATGCGGTGGGAAACCTATTCCGTCTACTATCGATCTCACTCGACAGCTGGTTTAAGGATTTTCGGTAGGCCGTAAAGCCGTGGTTGGACTGCACTTATGGGGTACAGTCGAAACGACTTATCTTGCCTAGGTGGTTTGTCACGGAACGCGAAAACTCCACAGTTTCAGCTTTACTCTTATTCATTATGGGTGTAATATTCCCAATATTGATCCGCTAGGTGTTGCTTGAACTTCTATAGATAATCACACATCTTCATGACCATTGGCCTTACCCTTATCTACCTTGCTTTGCTGGTGTAAATTTGGCGCTTTTGGCTGTTGGGATTTAAGGGTTGTGACCAGCTGTACCCATAGCTGAAATCTGAATCTTAGAAAGTAACTTTTCGAACTTACGGATTTCTGTCTCTCTCTGTGCAGTGCTGTCCTTGTGTAGCTTTCGCTTCTGTCGATTTGGTTTGCAGTAACTAACAGTCTGCGGGCAACAACATGGTTTGAAGATCTTTACTGAGCCGATATGCGTGGTGACGCGTATCAGATAAACGACGAGTAGTCAAGTAGATCTCCTGTTTGAGGAATGACTTGGCCGCTGAAAGACTGCGAAACATGCATGGGACAAAAAATAGATTTAGAAAATGTCGAGGTTTTTAGTCGAGGACTGCGATCCACGTCACAGAGACTGATGACCAAGGCGATAGAAATCGCCAAGCATCCCAGTCACGAGAGAAGGCGTGGAACCAGCAAGCGCGTGGAGAACGACTTTGGACCAGTCGAACTGACAGGTGTTGGTGTGCGGTCATCAGGCGTCGTCATCATATGAATTCCACTTGACCTACTCCCACCCCGCCAACTGAATTGTCGCAGCACTCCACAAAGACGAATGCAATCTACCAACGGCAACCGATTGAAATGGAAGATAAGGGAAACAAACCCGGTCAGAATTAATTTGAACCCACCCTCAATCAATCCAACCAAGATTTCGACAATCACACTAACCGACAACAGCCATTAATTTACACTCAACACTGATCTAATGCGCTAATATGAAGAGGTCTTACTGATTGGTTCTTCTTCTGCTTAAAACCTGGTCAACGTAGTAACCAGCTCTCTTGGCCTGATGAAGCTTTTGTCAAAAGCGAGACCTTGCACGAAGAATTTTGAGTTGAACATTTATATATAGGTTTGTATCCCATTGGTTATGGAGGGAATGATCAGGTATGAAAACAATCATGCTCTTAACTCCATCGGATTCTGAACGTGCGAATATCCACTTACCGACAAGGTTAGTGCAGCGGTTCTCCGTCATATCTGCGGAAAATCAACGACACTGGCAATCAAGTCGGCACAGTGCGCTTCCCCGAATTAGGTTACCCGTCGGAAAACGCCGTTCCGTGTACTCGCACAGTGCGCTTCCCTTAATTAGGTTGCCCGTCGGAAAACGCCGTTCCGTGTACTCGAACACGGAACACGACGTTGCAACCACGACCTTTCGAGTGAGATCAGTTAACCTCAGCAAGCCCATGTGACAACCCTTGTTGAAATTCGGCCTAGCATGTGCTATGCGATCGCACGACAGCTACTTGCCTAATGACGGAAACCGGGCAATGGCCAGCGGTCTCGACCACTGTGCTAGTTGGGAGGATGACGACAAGAGAGTGACGAGATCGACGTGAAGCAAATTAGATTCAGTCGAAGCCATGGCTGCGGCTGAGGACGCTGTGGGCGAGAGAATACCTTAAGACAGCATCGAGTGTCCAACCTGAGCCGGTTGTGTCTGGCGCCCCCGGCCAAAATTATCGTGCTGTGTGAATTACTTGTTTAGGGTGATAATTGGGCTACACTCTGTTTCATTACTGCTGTTGATGAGGTGCAGCCAGTAACGCAAAGGCGTTTTGATGTATTTGTCTAATGTATTAGTATATTTGTCTAGCGAGCACCAAGAATGGGTTCCCGTTGACAAATGCTTTGAAAGATGTGGCGCATAAATTTGATAATTATTTCGAAAGGAATATGCAAATAAGTACACAGCTGTGTAACTCCAAACGATTTGCACTACAGTCCGACAGAACTGTTGAACTTGAATAGTTGCCATTCTGCAATAGACGAAGTAATTGCAGTGGAACAGTCTGGAAAATTTGGCCGGTTTACCACGCAGGATATCAGTCCACTAGACCGTTTTATATCCGAATAACACGGCGTACAGGAATGATTTTGGAGCCCGATGAAAACCACGTCTCCTGAGGCAACGCACAAGGGTAATTTGATTGTTCGAGCCACTGCTAAACCACCGAAAATATTATATCCTTTTTCCTCTAAGAAGAACGTCGGTAGATACTGTTGTTAGGATCAGATTGATATCCAAGTTAGCCTTAGCCTGCAGAACAGTCCGTGTGACGATATTTGCTGGCCATTCACGACGCACGACAGCCACTCGTGGTTGTTGTAATTGTCAGTGTAGCTTTTTTATGGCCTTTGGAGTTTGCGTGCATCCCCATCATCCGGAAATTAGTCGGTTGTTTTCAAAGCGTTTGATAGAAAATAGCCGTTGCATACACCAGGATGTTTATACTATCGATAATCAGAGGACCCTGTGCCATATATGTGCATAGTTTTGTATGGCTCTGCGTGTCTAATATTGTACACCAGAAATTTGCTAGGTAAACGACCAAAGTCACTTACTCAAGAATGACATCGATCGGCTCAGTTCTGAAGCAATAAAAATAAAGAATCGAAATTCAAGCTGTATTAAATGTAATAAATCAAAAGTCCACAACACGGTCGGTGTAATGATGGGCACAAATCGCAGGATGAGACAAAGATGGCTTGGGCAACATGTGTGCAGTAATCCTTGGGATGATTTAACCGATTGTCACAAGCAATAGCTCCGTTATTCTTCTTTCGACAGCAGAATTGAAGCGGACACGAAACCAACCACAGGTGGCTTTTCTGAAAGCAGAGTAGCGGCGAACTGAGTTACTTATGGCTGTTCAGCGCAGTTAAGCAGATTTATCCTGATCTGTGTAACATACCAACGCCGTTTGTTTGGTTATTGAAGTGGGACACCGATTAACCATAAAACCCTGTTGAAAATTACCCGCTTGTAATACACGAGCAATACACGGGATACTGCTTGGCTGAAATACTACGGGAAGGTTGATGACTACAGTACACACCATACGTGTCACTTATGCGAAGATATGATTGGTACCCACATACTCGTTAAACGGAAATAATTGCCTAACTAGTGACAGTCAATCAACTGTCCAGCAACAGCTGTAGTTCATCTATATAGACAACACAAATACTGGGTACTGAAATTTTTGTCCTAAAAACAAAAAAACACCCAATTTGCATCTCCAGGATGCTAAATTAATTCAGCAGTATTTTTTCCAATACCTGATTTCACCCTACAAATTTGGAAGGCTGACTCGTTGAAGAACTCGGCTTAACCGCGCTAAGAAAGTGAGATTGAACCCATCACATTTCACCTTGGAGGTTAGATGATTCGTCCAAAGTGTGTTTGACACACTGCACCAATTAGCTTCAATAGCATATATGCTTGGGTAACAGACTTCTTCATATTGGCACTGGATGTTTCCTACTCGTTCTTAGTTTTCAAGTGGTGGTGATACTTTAAATTCAGTCCTAGGCTGTATCCTCCGACCTCAGTAAACATCAGCGCCTGCGAAACAAGGTCATTCTTTGTTCGAAAAAATCATCAGTTTGGCTGGTAATAAGATGTTGGTAATAATGAGTAAACTAGCTCGTAATCGTAAGTACAAACACCACGTCTTTCAACACTGCCATCTAACTGCAGATCTGCAAGTGACGCACATCAGACTAATCACTTTCATGTCGTTATCGGACTTCAGGACACACGACAGTGATTCGACAGAACGCCAAAGCGGTAAAATCCAAACCAACGTTGATTCCGACGTTCGTGGTAGCAACCAGTGGCGATATCAGTTAAATTACCCGAAAAAATTTCCGAATTTGCACTCTTCCCTTTAAGCGTGGATCTGAAATCCAAAATCATTCACCCGCACTGCGGTGAGCAAAGTGGATATGAGATTTTCGAGAGATTTGGCAAACGGATTCTTACATGATCGAGTAGCCCCGGCTAGGAAAGTCTTGTCCGTTTCATGACCAAACAGACTGGACTTAATGAAACTAATATCCGTGAATTTCAAAGTTGGATAGCAAGCACGATACTGTCCACCGCAGTTTTCATTCTTAACAGATTTCATATCCTCTTTCTAACAGAATAGATCACATGATGTTCATGTTTAAATCCCACACCACATATATCAGCGCAACACGGTAGCAACGAAGCAACATGTTGAGCAGAAACCTACACAGGGAATGGATAGAAATTATCAACACAGCACTCAATAAAAGATAGATAAAAAATAACCAAAAACACCAATGTCAGTCACCTATATTTTCTTCTGTGTTCTTCATGATCTGCTGTCTCAATTGCTCCCTCTTTGGGTCAGCGTTCTTCCTCACTATTCCATCCAGACCTTCCGAATCCAACACTCTTTTTTCTTCTTGAGAACGATCTGAAAGGCGCTCATTGTCTTCTTCTTTGTCTTTTTCAGCGGGCATCGCACCCAAAATAGCCGTACTTATTATAGAATTTCTTGGGGAGCAACCACTTTCAGTACTGTATTCGCTGCAGTCGGTTGGTGCTGTGTTTTCAAATGCTTTGGATGATAATGTTTTGGCCGCTGCACAAGAAATTGTAATTCTCTCTAAAGTGAGAAAAACTGAACATTGCAAGAATAAATTACTTACTCTTCTTTGTCGGTGACTGCAAATCACTCGTGATTGTGTCAGACTGACTGTTGGATCTACTTGAGTTGGACTGCCCAATACGTCTTGGAGGACAAAATTTTAACGGTCTTCTAGCATCGCGCGTCTTTTTCGTGGCCACTTGGTCTTTAATCTCCGTGATGGGTTTGTCACAAACTGAGACATTCTTTTCGACCACACTGTCAAAAGGAAAGTCACCTTTTACATTTTTCTGATACAAGTAAGCCGTTGCTTGTTTATCCGTCGAGATTTCGCTGGCGGTGGTGTTGTTATCTTCACATGATTCCATTTTCTGTCCAAGTTGCCCATACTTGCGTTTTTGAAAAACGACACGAAAGAAATGCCGATATTTAGCTTGAGTCTCCGGTTACATTTACTTGTATTTTTCTTAAGTTAGTAATCTTTAATAGCGGTACAAATTACTACTTTGGTCCCGGCAATAAAAATAATCAGGCTCCAACGGTTACGACTAACCTTTAGAAAACTATTGACACCTACATTGTAGTGTGTAGATAAACCAAATTTCCCTTGCGGAAATCTAGTTTGTGGAGGGGGTAATAGATAACAAAGAGTAAAAAGCGCGTAAGAATATTAGACAAAATTCATGCTTAACTACGTAAAAGTGTTAGAGACATTGCGTTAATCAAATATTATAAAGCGGTTGCTGGGTAGTTTTTAAAATTTTAACGGTGACTTAGTTAACAAACTACAGTAGGATTTCAAAGAAAACGCTCGATATCTGGCAAAAACTGACTTACATTTTGATTCCCCATTGTGACCTCGACAGCAGAAGTCATGCTAATCGCGCATGATTCAAGTTCCTCCTTTGTTGGCGCACGCTTACGTGTTTTCTGTATGGAAAATGAATCACCAACCTTAGTAGATACGGCTGACCATTTGCCATGCAGGTAGCATCAAGGGCTGCTAAAGGCTAGTAAACTTGACTAGTTGTACAAAATATGGTTAGGATAAAGGTGGGCCGGGTCACTCAGAGTTTTTTGTTCCAATCAAAACCTGGCAGGCTGAATACGAAGGATTAGACAAGCAGTACTCCAGCTGATCGTATTAAATTGTTTGCCGGGCTTACGAATTGACAATTATGACATCGCCCACAAGGACTGATAACTTCTAGGATAAGACATTTTGACGTTATTAGCATTCAGATAGCTGGAATTAGTTCACGACCAATAAAACAAATTTTTGCACCTAAATACTGGTAAATCTTCGGTGCGATCATTAAATTTGTCTCTAGATGGCAAAAGAGTCCTATTAGGAAAGAGCTTTGACACCATCCGCCGAGTCTTCTCCATTCTGGAGGCCATTCTGAGGCATAACCGACGAGTAGGAACAAGACTATTGTCTTGCCAATTTGAGATATCAGTTCTCAAAGTGCTACACAGGTGCAGTAGATAATGTGATCTGGTCCAATCAAAACCGAATTCGAGAGAGAGAAAGGTCAAATTTCGCACCAGAGATTGCATACAAACAACACTCAGTACATTTTATGGTAAAAGTGAAAGGAACAGTAAGTTGTAGCAGCGCATGAATCTGATGGAGGAAATGATAGAGAAACCCAGGTTGAAACTAAAAAAAGTAGTACTGCATTTCATCAGTCTGTCAGTAATGTACTACCATGGTCTTCCCGAAACCGGTCCGTTTACAAGCAAATGCCGCATAAAAAACATGGATAGATTTGTCCTAAAGGTTTGCTAAGATTCTTGTAAAGATGTTATATCTGGTGTATAAAGCTTACTTTGGAGCTTTTTGACATATCTTCTTCTTCTGGATACGGATAACCATAAGTGAAAATACGATCCTAAAACAGAAGAATTTGGTGGGACTCAGGGTGTTGAAAGAATGTAAACTATATTAGCAAAACTGCTCAGCACATTTGCCTATGAAACATTTTGAACTAACAAGAAAGTTATCTTGATAGGTGGATTTGAGCCTAAATTCTCGTCTTTCCTGCGTACCGTACCATCGGATTAAAGTATGAAGAATACGGAAACTCATCCTCTTGAAAACTGGGTGTCAAATGTCGTTGTACATCAGCCATTTCCTCAAAACCTTGGCTGAAACCCGAAGTTGTCGTGCGCAAGATACCCTCTTTGTCTTAAATCTTGAACGGCTTTTTAAACTATCAACAGTGATATCTTACTTGGAAACCTTATCCTCATTTGAGTAGAATACTCTCAAGAGAAACAATCGGCCCGAAAATAATATTTCCCAGTTCACTGCTCGATCCTTCTTTCAATTGCCACTTCACCAAAAGATATCCATCCAAAAGAAAATACTTTAATTATTTACTTCAAGATTGTGATGCTCAAAATGAATCAGGAGGAGTTAAACACTGAGCTGTTTCCAACTCGGGATTATGAATGCACCCTACATTTCGTTTGGTTACAAAGGGTGTCCTTAAAAATATCTGGGTGGACGATCTCGCAGCACGGCGTTGTCGAGGTAAGTCAAGATACTGGCCGCACTTGGCTGGCAGTGGGTGAACAGGTAGGTCCTTTGGATCTAAACCAAACTCGTGGAGCCTCACTCACGTCAGCACAGGCTTTAGTGGTATCCAGTACATTTTGTTAGGCTCAGCAACCTAATCGCCTTGCTCGCAGACAATCGAGATGAAAGATGTGGCCACTTAGGTGACTAGTGCTTCGAACAATTTCGATGGAGCACGCAGTCAAAACTTTGAAGCGGGTGCAGTTTGAACATTGCATTCTAAACTTCGCAAACCTATACAGTACAGTAAACCGCTTCAATGGGGAATTCTTGCTTACTTATAAATAATCGTGAACTCAGACTGATGAGACAAATCAGCTGACTACGCCACCCTATTCTGCGAATGAAGTGCTTCCTTGATACATGGTAGGCAGATACAAGTGAAGACCTATGGAAAGAAGAATTTGTACTCACCTCTAATGACATTTTCATTGCTCTTTCTGCTTCTCTCACTGCTTTTTCTAGCCGGGTCCTATATCGATTAGACTAAATGAGATCGAGTTAAAAATGCAAGTGGACAGCATTGTTCCGTGCTAAATAGTCGCATTGGGAAACAAACACTTCCGATTTTGTACCAGGTTACAAATCGCGGTAAAATACGACCAAACGTGAACGTCAGCGTGAGCAGTTTAGTTTTATTGGCATCCTATTCAGACTACCAAAAGGGCTATAGCTCATCAACATCAGTGGTAATTAGTGGGACAGGCATTCACATACAGTCGTACGGAAGTCGCCACCGTAAACTCTTGTGAATCTACGCACGACAGTCTGACAGTCCCCGCAGCCAATTAATTCGTCCAGTGTGTGTGTGTGTTTAAAAGTTTCCAAACTGAAATAAATCCACTATAATATTAACCGTGGTTGCTACTGGCAATTAATTCTCCAGTGTGTGGTGTGTGTGAAAAGTTTCCAAACTGAAATAAATCCACTATAATATTAACCGTGGTTGCCACTGGCTCAACAGTGTCAAAATATTTACAGAAAAGCACGTTGTCAATCAGTGATCCCAGCCCATTAAAACTTATGAGCAACCACAGAAAGAATTGTCAGCTGTTTCGTTATATTAAGCTAGTTTTGCTTCACACATCGAGTCATTCAGTAAGTGTTTCCTCTATTAAATAATCTTTCATGTAATTTGCTCTTTCCTATGATAAAGCGCCTGCCCTCTGTAGCTGACATATGGAAAGGCTTAGGAGACAAACAGTACACTCCTTTTCTGATATGTGGTATGGAAAACTTGTCAACCAATCCGTTTCGTATCGAGAAGGTTTAACTGAGGAATGAAGCTGATGACAGTTGTATTGATAAAACAATAAAACACAGAAGCTTAGGGGGTTAGGTTACACTATATCACCCGAAAACAGGCTTCTTCAACCAGTTTCTATAATTTGAGCCTTCGGGACCTTTTAGCTGTCGAATTGTTCCGTAATCTTAACCGATATAACCGAATGCTTCTTCAAAAAAGAATATTCATTTGATTAGTAGTTTTCGGATTATTTGATGGTGTACAGTTCATTTTCAGTTGCTTCAGAAAACGGCTGAAATTCCATATCCTTAAAAAACATGTTTAATTACAACGAGGTAAACTATGCTCTGCTGAAAGATCACCTACCAACGCCCAGATCCATGCAATCACATTGTATGGGGTGTAACTGAGATTGAACTGGAGAAATTACTGGTTAGACAAAGCTCAGATTATCTGGTAACTTACCACGGTGCGCGGTTGAGATTCTGCGCTCAGGTTGAATTTTCTCAAACGCGACTCGCGGACCTTCTGCCGTGTTGTGCCCTTTGGATCAATAAAGACGATATAGTAACGAAACACCTCTCCGGTTGCTTCGTCGTATTCAGCATACTGTCCACTTGAATCGCAGTCAACCATAGCTGGCCATTCTGGGTAACCTTGAAAGAAAAAGCATCATCCTGATCAGTAACATGGAGCATCGAAATTGGCAGGTATTCCGGCGTTTCTAAATGCACCATCAACGAAAAAAAAATGAAATCAATGCAACATTCACTCAGTGTACTTACCATCCAGTTTCGCCCAGACCAGAGATCCTGCGGTAAATTTGGTAAACACATATTTCCCTTCTCTAACATCTTCCAACTCCACCTGAAGTTCTCCACACGGATCTTCTACTTCCTGCTTTCCGTCTAAATACTTTGGCTGCAAGCCACAATGCCAAGCCTCATCCAGCATACTGGGATCTAGAACTTGATCCAGAAAACGCCATTTGTTGCATCGGACACACTCAACCCACGTACCTAAAATTTATTATAAATTTACTGGAAATGCGTTGAGCACGACAAACTTGTTCGTAAATCATAAGGACTATACAGTATCTTCAAATATAATTCCACTATTATTATCTTATCAGCCGTGGTCCGTGCAGCAAAGAATAGGAAAGGAAATATCTTGAGGAAGAAGTCAGTTATTGCTACGGTCTGCGAAAATGTCAACCGGTTTGTTGCTCAGACATTCTTTGAGCTTGGAGCTCAGGTTCGAGGACGAGACCACCAGCAAACTTATAGTCTGACCCGGTCCATGGCACGTGATGCACAAGCATCCGATGTTCAACTGCGATCTACCTACTGCTGCCCTATGGACAATTTCTTATTTCAGCTGGAGTTAAAAATCGGTCCTTGTTAGCTTGTTTCAGAATTTAACACCGACCAACTTGTGCATTTAATGCTAGAATCGGAATTCGATTGTAATATCCCGTTTGCGCAATGTGATTCCAAATTCGCATTTATCACATTCTTATGTGGGTTGATTCATTCTTGAAATTGTATTGTCGTTGCAGTAGAAAGTAATGGAAACTGCATCCGGGGGTGCGCAAAATTCGTTCGTGCGAGTCACAACGGATGCTACCAGACTCAATTAGGAGTATGTGAAAAAGGCCGATAAATATGTTTTCACTCAAAAAGTCAAATGCAGCAGTCGCTGTCATTCTCACGAGCGTATATTTGCTCATTTTCCCAATTAGGAGTACCGGTCCGCCTTTAAACTATACCAAAGCTAGCTATTCGGAAACTGTCAAAATCAAGTAATCCATCGCTAACCATTCAGTGGCTCGAACATATAATGCATGTTTCAGGAGAGCATGATAAAGAATCGGTAGTTTTTGTTTGGGCAATGTTTCGCTTTTGACACAAAAGCTTCATCATGCCAAGTGAGCAGGTCACCAATGTAATGCCTGTGTTGGTTTCCTGATTGCAGCACATGTAGACAAAAGAATGCGAACATGTTTGAAGTCTCTTACAATCAACCTGTGAGAAATGTGGAAAGAAAGATGAAACTTCAACACATTTTACATTTGCTCCTACGTCTAACTATCGGGCATGGTACACTACAGAATGTGAATGTTGGCTATCACGGCAACACAAGAAAATGCTTGAGGCGTCGCTGAAGTAAACAGAGTGAGACATTGGTGGTATGGGCACTTGTCGGTCAACAGATTTTCGCCTATTTTTATAGAACGTACTATAAGCATGACGTGGTTTGCGTCAAGAAAACAATGTGACCAGTGGGAAAAATTCAAACTGTTGAAAGATAGACCTGCTACCGGTCTAGTCAAAATAAAAATAAGTGATAGAACACTATGTTTTGTCTACACCGGCACTATTCTTCAGTTATGTTTTATACATACGTCATCACACTCAGAGCGGCTCAAGGATTCAATGGCGTCAGAACGCACCGGTACCGTGGGGTTGACAACCATCATCATTATCGCCTGAATTCGCATTGGGAATATTATGAGGATCTTTATGTTGCACAACACTTCCACAGGAGTTTCGGCACTCCTTGGTTTCTTCCGCCAGAACTGGAATCAAAGTGGCCTCTTCGAAACAGTTTTGACCCGATCCGGTGGAACTAGACACGGCTGAGTTGTAGTGAAAGAGTTCTTCTGTTTCACTACATTGCTGTCGTTTGACGTACTTTGGTTTGTTCTTCCCAGCTGTGGAATTTTCTCCTTCTCCCTCCTCCCCTTCCTGGGTCGACGGATATATTCGCTCACCATCCAAAATGTAGGTCTGAAATACTTCTTTGAGACTCCTTTTTTCTAGGTCATCTAGTACTTCACTAACCAGTGCGTCAAAAGTGTCTCCAGAGAGACGTTCTGTCTCGTTATCTGAAGGACGAGACATTTGATCCGCTTCACAAAGATAGGTGCTGTATAGATCACTTATGTCCCGATTTTCCAAAGAGTCAATCACTGCATCCACTAATGTGTTGAACTCATCAGACGGGTGAACCTGTGGCAGAATGAAGTGATAGTAAAATCGAATTCAAAATAAAGACTCATCCCACATCATTTCACCAAGTAAACCTTCACGTACTCTGGCCTAAACACCGACTCAAGTACTAGGAATGGAATGGCTGACAGCTCTTCAAACTTTCTTGGACCATCTAGTTAATGCGGAAGAAAACAGAAAAATACATAGTGAAAAAAATGCGTGGATTTGTCTTGCACAACGTGTTTTCACAACCTACTGACCTCACGCTTCAAGGAAGTTTAAATAATTGGGAAAAGTGACGTGACTTCATTACTATTTCATTCGGTTCTGTTCATAGAGGCGCGCAAAGTTTGACGTTCTGGATGAGAGTTTCTGTCGATATGCAGACGACCAGCCTAGTTATATCAAAGATACAATCCGGGTTACAAACTTTCCAACTCAAGCCGCCGACCTTCGAAATTTCAGCTTGCGCTAAGCCTGGTTGTTAGTCAAGCATAATAATAAAATAAATGGCCAGCAGTTGTAGCTCTCTTTTGACGCAAATCTTCCAAGCCACCCAAAGGAAGCACGAAGACTGCGATACTGTTGGAACTTTTGGTACACATGCCTGCCTAGATCGCATGCACATGAGGCTTCGACCAGCTCTACTTATCCATTTGATGCACAAAAGCTGGTTTCAAGAATAGTTGCAGAGTAAACCTAGCCATTAAACGGACTTATCTGAGGGAGATTTTGCTAACCCACGCCATTCACCACCGGGTGTCCGGACAGAGTGCAGTCAGCTGTGCGTTTTCATCAGTCAACTGGCCATAACTCATGTCAATCCATCCATGAAAAGAGTTGTAGCGAGAACGGTGGAAGGGAAAGTTACTCTGCTTCTTGGCTCTAAATTCTGTGATGGTCTCTGCAAAATATTCTTCTCTTTGGTGGCAACATCCAGGTTGACAAATGTTATAGTTTCCACCATTTTTTGTAAGTGAGTTTTATTTCAAACACATTGGTTGTTTTTGCGTCATTCAAACAGATCTACAAAAGAGCACAGAGAAATGAGTTGTCGCACAATGTACCGGGTGATTTTCCTATACCTCTTCGGGTGAGCACTGAGGAACCAGTCATCGGGATGTTAAAAGGAAGTCGATCAGCAAGACAATGCCCCGAGAGAAGACCGTGTTCTTCAATGTACAGAGTTTCTGTTTCAATCTTTTAAGATCAGTGGACACAGCAAGGCGCAACATTTTACTGTGGTCCTGTCCGCAACGTGGGACACGTGTCAAATTTCAAGCAAACGACGAATTATCGATGAAGCTGGCATAGTTCCTGCACTCGCCTCAGGATTTGTAGTTGTAATTTGGCGTACTGCAGAAGATTCGGAAGACCTCCTAAGTCAAATTTGTCTGTTAGCTCAGTCAAAGTGGGTAGTCAAACACCCAGAAAGAAAAACGTGTGTGATGTACTGATGGTATTGAGGTAGCGGAACTTTACTGCAGCGGTCGGGTTTCGGTTGCAGTTCCCTCATTTTAAGTGTGGGCGATCGGCCACACATAATGGTACCACTGACAAGCAATTCCGGTGGAACGAACATCAATTTGAATACAGTAGCGTACGATGCAATCCGTCAAACCACACCCAAATATAAACTCAATTCCGGAGACAACTGCTTGGTCGATACCAGCCTCATTGATAGAGGTCATTTACTTGAAAATGAGTATTGTATTGATCCGACAGCAGCCACCTACGTCGTGTCTAGGGCTAGGAACGTTAAGGTGATACAATTCACTACCGAGAGATGGAAACCGGAACCGAGTGAACGGGATGGCTTTATCATATTGCCAGTAGCCTGGTATTAACCGGCTTGACTGTGAGATTTCGGGCGTGAGCATTTGTTCTGTTTTATTTACTTATCTGACATTACCCTGCAACAGCTCATTTTCCCGTGCGCTGTCTAAGCTAAGAAGCGTTTTACGCTCAATAAAAGCCCCAAGCGACCAGCTTATACTCAGCAGACGAACAGCACATAGCACTGATGCGACGGAGCAAAAGTAACCTGCTGCCACATTCCCCGTTGTGTATTCTTTAGATATAGGTGTACTCCCTACCGAAGCCGTATTCCGTTGTAGCCACGCTCTTAGTAGCTCACAGTTATTAGCTCACGCAGTTGTCAATTCAACTATAATCATAGTCTTCCTGAATTAGATACTGGCTGGAAACATGCGTCAGTGATTCCAGCCAGTATGTACTACAGACAGCAGTAACCCATGTTTGAATTCGCTGGGAATGACGCTCCCGAATTCAATAACAAACCTGTTTTTAGAGGGCTGAGTAGAACTAAAATACAGTGGCTTGTTTCAAAAAAACGTTGAAATAGAGCGAAACTATGCAGCGACGAAGTATCTACTGTTCGAACTACAAGAAGATACCCTCAAATAAAATTGTACTTCTTAAAAAGAAGTATCCATTTGGGCAATGGCCCGAAAATAATAGGTTCCAGAGTTTTTGGACTGTTCACGTCATCTTTTACGGACACCAAAAGCAAGCCTCAAAAAGGAAACGCAGTTTTCTACCCACTTTGATTTCATTGTGCTGGTGAAAGATTCCATTAAGGGAGCATATAAAAATATAAAGCCACTATAACCACCGTGTAACCACTTTGGTCGTGAAACAAGGACGCAGAAACGATTGTAACTTTTAAAGCATTGGTGTATTAAGTGAGCGAACTGTAATAGACGCAAAGTAAAGATAAGACCACCTCCGACGTACGTCACGGATGATCTTGTTAGAATTACGTTCTCAAGAAAACGATTTTTGTAACCTTGTTTGAGTTTGCCTTACTGTTGAGTATTACTTCGGAATGAGGAAGAGCGTTTACGCGGCTGATCAGTGCCACGAAGAGACTGAACCTTACCGTGGTGTAACGGTTTACGTACTTCCACAATCCACTAATCTATATTGGTTGGTGTCCGTGCAGCACTCACTAAATCTTTCATACCAGATTGGTAAGTGGTCAGAGGTTTAACACAGTCTGCTGGTGGAAAATGTATGTCGACCTGTTCCGCTGGCTTGCGATCAGGCTTTTGCGCCACAGGATTTGGGTGACGGCAATAATCGTCCTGTTGTCAAGGTTTGATTGCCTTAGCAGTATCCCAGCTCACGTACAAACATGAGTCGCACACATACAAGTAATGTAATGCTACATCGGCCGTCGCATGGTGTCATCAGACGGGTCGTCTTACTGTATAAAACAGGGCGGGTAAGCTCAATTCAGAGTGGCGGAAGCATAGAGGTATGAAAAAGATTACGGAACGTTTGGACGATGTCGGTGCCACTCGCCTTCCAAGGTGGGGACTGCGTCCACTGCGATTGGTCGGAGACGCTGCAAGATATGGCTGTTAATCGATATCAATAGTGTTCTCGTTGTCAGTTTCTATCCAGATTGCCTGAATGAGTGAGTGGAGGTGTAGGCACCTCGGAATGATCTTAGTAAGCTAACATTGAGTCCCCTTTTCGTCCACTTTTATTCGTTTCTTCACAATAAGATCTTCAAATAGATCATGGTATAGAAGCATCAGTGTTGAACACTAATGTCATGGTATAGATGATGATGATGATGATGATGATGATGATGATGATGGTGGTTTATAGAATTACACTATAAAGAAAAATTATGACCCCCAGTTCACTTTCTGAGAACATCCGTTCTGCTTTGATGGAGCGATGTCAAGAACCGCTAAATATTTTTTTCAAAAAAGCACTTCTGTTCACACTCTTATTCTTTTCCACAATTTATCGTTTTGACGCACTGAACTACGGTAGTATGCTTTCTGGGCTGTTATGAGCGGGAGTTTAGCAATGATTATGAAATGAAAATGATTCATAGATGTGTAAAAAAATCTGGCCTTGTGATACAAGTTTGCTTGCTAGTTGTCAATTCCCTCGAGAAGAAATTAAAAAAACTTACGGAAATTCTTTTGAGATAGAATGATGTGGTACAATTAGCTGGTTCCAGACAACTAAATAACAAGTTTCCTCGGGCTAAGATGAAATATCTCAATTTAACTCGAAACACAATCCGTTACAATATTGGTGGAGGGTTCTCCCTCATCCGAATTGTTCCTTAAACGAGCTACATCAGATAACATGTGAACTATTCGCGAGTAGTAACTTGCATAGTTTGAGTAGTTGGTACGACTTAACCAGGACCTCCTAAGAGCTCCGAAAAGAAGGACAATAGTGGAATTTCGACGCTTTCCAGGATGGCGAACACATATCGCTTTTACTCCTCAACTTGCTTTGTAGCCTTACTTTAATCCGAAACCGATTTAACGTCGATACGATCTTGACAGTGCAATGGCATGTAGCCCTTATTTTTTATTTCAAAATCCAGTTTCTACAAAAATGGTCCAAGTGCCGATCAGCTGCTGGTGGCCTAACGATTGTGTACAAACTACTAGCTGGGAGGTTACGGGTTCAAAACCCATGAAAATCCTTGAGATGCGCACTGCTAATGATTAGCGAAGAGAATGAGACCGGTTTACAGTGCTTCTCGGCTTTTAGCAAAGGTCGGCCTCACCTACGGTACAAAATCAATGAAAAATTTGTCAGAGCAATAGGTGGTTCAAACTCTAACCGAAAATCATTATTTCAGTGAGTGCACCCCCCAATAAAAAAACAAGAAGGAGAATGGGTATTCTAAATTCCACCTTGGGGAACGCTTCACCAGAATAATACCAGTAAACTTAACCATTACCCACAAAAAGTTTGTGGAGCCGAAGACCAAGAATTTCTACATAGGTGCAATTAAAAAACCAAAAAACACCCAAATCACGCTGTGATATATTTATTCATTCTTAGAAAACCATCATAATTCGCCAACATTAACTTTTATTAGTTTCTGAGGCTTTAACCATAGGTGCTTTGGTGAAATGATTGCGGAAATCGATCCATATCCCCTAGAATAATAACAGGTGCTATTCATCTGACTGCACTAAGGCCCGGCGCGACGCCAGAATTGGTGCAGTCATCCACACATAATCTAAGAGGACAGAGTTTCCTCACATAGCACGTTCATGACCTTCCAGCCGTCCGGACAAAGCAACACACCCAAGAGGACTTCCACTTCTGTCAGACATCCGAAATAAGGTTACCATTAAATCAGTAATGACACAAGACGAACGATCCCTGTTGTTGGCCAAATACATTCATTGAAACTAATCAGGGTGATTCAAGTGTATCCCAACCGGACCTGTCGCTTATGATTAGTGAACCTAACTTAACATCATCATAGTCCTTCCAATGATTTGCTTACTCCGCTATATACTTTTGATCTCCACCTTCCCTGTTCACCCGTACCCGTCATTCACGTTGCCTCAAAAGCCGCCCCGTCCGACACTGGTATCTTAGCATATGTGTATGTGTACGTGTATGTGTGTGTATGTGTATGTGTGTGTGTGTGTGTGCATGTGTGTGAAGACTGCCAGCTGACCCACTTACATGCTTGCGCCTCATCCGCTGAGCCTGCCCGGATTTGTGAAGCGATTTTCCGTGTGATCGCACCACCAATCAGGATCACGAGGCCACGGAAGGGACAACCGAAACCTACACTAGCAGTAATCTGGTATGCAAACTTTGATACTGCACCGTGCCGGTCAGTGACAGACTTGCACACCTGGTGACTCCACGTGCGTGGACGATTCAGGTTTGTTGTATAATTCTGCTCACTTTCGTTTAATTGATCCTGTAGACTTTGAACCCAGTTCTTCCTTATGATACTCCGGACCGTCAAACTCAATGGTGACCTTAATAATGATAGTCTTCTGTTGTTGTCTTATTTGCGTGCATTCACTAGGGTGTTAAACAACTTGGCAAAGGTTACTCACGGTTGTCGAAGCGTCAGGACTACAAATCCGCATGCTGAAACACCATGCACATAGTGAATTATGGGAAGTTAACTAGTTAAATTTAGCTCTCAGCCAAGACTATTTCGTTAGAAATTTCGACTACTTCCTACTGCAAATCATGAGGCGCCTCTACCAGCTCCTACCGTTTCCGAAGTACTGTGTAATTAGCCGTTTGAAATAATGGATTTTTATTCGGATGGTTATATATTCCGTTTAAACCTTATCTATTTCTGGGATGGTGTAAAGTACACTAATCTCGGTCTAAGTAAATCTAAATTCCCATCAGAGTTAAATGTAACTAACTGGACTTGTGTTGCGGGATAATGCATGCTCCAGTTCAACTGCTCGCGTCTTCTTCTTCCACGATTGCATATATTTTGTGCGGAAAGTTGTTCCATTCAATGGCTTTGACAGGTGGTTTTCAGACACTTTAGGTGTGTTCAGTGGATACGTCTGCAAATCCTTGTCTTCAATACCATGACCACTGTAGAAATAGCAGTTGTACAGTTCGTCGACTGATGTTTCATTGAATTTTGTGAGGACGGAGGTGATAAGGTCGTCGAGATAGTTTGGATCAATTGAAGTAGCACCAGTCGATTGCTACCAATACAAAGAAAAAATATGATTATAAATCTCGATCTACTTTTTTCTCTAGAAGAGTGTGAGTTGCACCGATTGACAAGAAAGGGGAGAAGGGCACTTCGGATTCTTACCTGCAGCAGCTTTGAACTATTTTTGAGCGGTGCCAGCCACAGCGTGCCGCCTTGCTTCCAGAGGACTCGAAGAATGTCAAATGTTTGTTGCAATTGCCCTGGTAAGCTCACATGTACGCATAACTACACGTGGGAAACAATAGATTCTGACAGACCAAATTTACAGGACCTTCGTCTTCATTACGGTTCACCGAGTAGGCGTAGCCGGGTTTCACAGTCTATCGTTAAAGTTAGAATTTCACACCCAAATGGCTGTTTACCTCACTGGTGTCGCATAGAGTATACGGATTCAATGGTTTACTTCATTCAGCTAGCATTTCAAATGCGCTGGGAACCCGAATGGTGATGAATAGTCCGCTAATTACTGTTTGATTTTGATTGTCCTTAGAGAGCCTGAATACTCCCAGGACTAATTAATTCCACTCTAAATTTGTCTATCGGGAGAACTCAAAGCTGATGACCGGCTACTTGTGAAACTCGACATAAGAATGAAAAATAAAGAAAATGACTCCTACTAAACTCAGCACATTCTAAACTGGGCAAACCAATGGAACCAATTCAGCTGTTATGTTTTGCTGTGTATCAAACAGACAGTTTCATTGTCAGCAACATTAGTAAAGAACCAGACTGAGTTACAACTGCCGAGTAGTATCCATCGACGGCGGAACAATTCTAGCTACAAATCGGCTTCCAATGCGAAAGCCTATCTGCAAATCAAAATAAGACATTCAGTGGACATTCACTCGTGAAAAAATTTGCAATAATCAAGCAAGTTGTTTTCCACAACAGCCGACTGACTGACTGAAACTCTCTGGAAGTACTGTCAGTAAAAATATCGGTGTTTGCTGCTTCATCCCTGTTCACTTTAGAAAAGCGGGCAACTGCTTTGTATGCTGGATGAAAGCTAACTGAGAAATTCATGGTTTCAAAATGGCCTTACTAAGTAGATTGGGAACCTTTGTACTCTCACAGAGCAGATGTCACTAACATTATCGGACAACGATAGATATTTCAAAGCACTTTTGGGACTACTAGTGAGTGAGCGATCTTTTGGTGCCTAGCTGCCATAACACTCGTGAGACACTTCCAGAATGCCCAAGCCTAGACAGGAACTGTCGAAATGCTCACACCTTAGCCTCTTAGCTATCTCGAGATCCCGTGAACCACCAAACTTGCAGCTTATTCTTATTCCAACTATCATTCTCACTGTTCACCATACAGTTTACTCATTAAAGTACCACATAATTATCCATGAGAAATGATTTCTAAGCACCGAAAGGTGAATAGCAAGCTAGGTCACAAAATCATCGACTGTGACAAGGATAGATCTGACGTAGTTCGAAAGCAGTTCCAAGTAGTCCACTGGGTCCATTTGGAGGATCAATTACCTCTTAGACCTATTATGTAACTTCAGGGTAATTCCAGAAGCAGGAGTCTGGGAAGCTGGCATACCCGACATTCTTTCCGCTCATTTAATTATCAAGACAACATTAGGATGAAAAACGCTTTAGTGGTGACAATGAGGAAGCATTTTAAGGAAGGTGGCCGTTGATGCATTACTGCTGTAGACAGTAATCGTCAAGTTTTCAAGCTGATAATTGAAGGATAACTCTAATGAAGTGCTGCTACATCAACTTTGTCCACTTCTGTATTTCAGACCGAAACAAATATCCATCCTCTGACGACATTGGTATCAGTTTGCATGGAGTGCGGAGTTCCTAATTTCGGTGCAGAATTTATTGTTTATGTGGATCCAATCAATGCATAGGAGCCCAAAAACAAGGTACGACCTTGTTAGGAAGTACCAGCGGTATGGATCTCTTGGATCTCCCCGGGCGAAATGAACTGCTAATCTCTGAGTAAGCATTGCATCCAGATCCGCTAAACCACCAACATTTTCTAATCACGCAATTCACGTCAGGCAAAACAAGGTTTACTGGACTTCGAAGCCTAACAGAACAGAGGTATTCGAGACAATCGTCCATGAATTATACCGTAAAAGATCTCAGATGGTAAAGCATTAACGGGAAAAAGAAGTAAGGTAACTCCATATATATCGAAGTTCGGTTCACTTCAAACCGTTTTATTCAATTTTTTCCCAGCGTTGTTGGTCGGCTCACGTGCAAGTGGTTCGTAGTTCCTCTGCTTGACATTAATTCAGCCAGCCCGAATCACAAGAAGACATCTGTTTTAAACTATCTGTCGCGAGATAATTCACTGTTGATTCTTCTTCTGGTTTGACACCATCAGTCATGAAAATTTTCGGAGAAACGCAAGATCTCCTCCAAGGCTTTTCAAACCCGTTGGATAGGGATACATGCGAAACCATCACTTAAAATTATTGTCTCTGCTCACGTAGTTTCGGACAAAGACAATGAATGGGTGTTTACAATGAGGATATCGTACTGTAATTGTGGAAATTTTTATTGTGAAAATCCTAGAAGCACTCTACGGCGGTTTCTTTAATGAGTGTCGAACTTTTCTATCTCATAGTCCGTCTTTCTTTGTGTTACTTAAAGGGTTAAAGTAGACCGTGTTAACTGTCATTTTTAGGGTGATCCAAATTAACCACAGTGCACACAATTCTTCAGGATTACAACATTCATTCAGTTCACTCCATCCACTCTTCCTAGGATGTTTTAAGCTAAATGTGTTATTTCAAAGCTCTCGTTGAGACTGCTTTCGGATCAGTACAAAAAACAAGAATTGCACCAGAGTCAGTCTAATTGGCTTTCTGCGCTCATGTATCTTGTAAACCGGGTAGGTTGAACGTGTGTTATCAATAGACTGAACCTTATAGCGACGCGAGAGCTTGCATATTTAAGTAACTCACTGGGTTATATTGGAGGATGCCTACTCAATGTCCCAATGGTTAAAGATTCGACAAATACAGTTTCTTGATTCTCCAGGTTGGAGTTTAGAAAAATGCGACGATTTGCTCCTTAATATTTGAGCCGCTGCAGTGGTCTTACGCAGATCACCGCTACAGTGCAATTAGAATTTCGATCCAATGGCCTTGGTTGAGGACTTAAACCGTCCTGCTGTATAGGTGTGGGCACTATGGCCAGCTCACACAACCATAAGCATTACAGATAAAATTGCATTCGAGAGACATTGATCGTCGCTTTATAACATCCGTCAGCTCGCCTCGTTCTCCGCATACAGCAGATTGGTCAAGCAAAAGCATGCAAATGCTGACAGCTCTCGTCTTTCATTAATATCGTCCCCTAACCCTCTCAATCTTCGCCTGATAATAACACTCATGAGGTCCCCAAATGCAAGCACATCGATCGGCAAACCGCACGCCACACATGATTACTACCGATCTGCTTTCGCCATTATGACTTAGTTCTCCTGGTTTTTACTGCATTCTTCAGCTTCTGCCAACAACCTGATCTTGTAAGCAATGAAGATAATTTATCGATCTCTATCCGCTGTATCTCTGAGACTAACATACAAGAACTAATTGGAGTTAGTGGGATTTTGACCTCCTCACTACTTGGACTCTATCGACAACTGAGATCGGACGATCCCTCAGCTGCTGCCGAAACTTCGGGAGCTTACTAGATACCCCTAGGCAGACGATCTCTGCCGTCCGAATTCTCGCCTTCATAAACACTCGCACCGGTGAAAATATTGAACGCTCTTTATTTATCATGCCCATTTGTGGGCTTATGAACTCTGGCCTGGGGTTCACTGAAACACATTCCAGCGAAAAATGACCAATCCTTTGTCTATCATAAATAGCTCGTTTATAATATCGAGACAGTAGATTTAAAATGACATCTAGGACGCCTGAGATTATCCGAAACACGCCTGATGGTATTTTTAGCCTGAACGCAGAATGCAATAAACTTCTTTCGCAGTTTTAATCTCAATAATATTGAGTTTAGATGCAATGTGCGTTGTACTACGTGGCATCCCCCTACCAGTGAACAGTCAGTCAAATTCACCACATCGTTATCAACTAGCAATGGCGTGGTTCTGTTCTTGCTTGGAAAATACAAGTACATTTAGATCACGATATTGTAGAAATGAAGTCAATGCTCTTGTCTTTAAGATGCTATCAGTTTTCGTCAAACTACACCACTTGTGGTGGAGCTAAAGGGATATGTATACTGTGCAACTGTATCTACGATCTTGTTTTGAGATTTGGTTCCTAAGAACTGAAGACATAGGACTTCTATGAACCTTTGATCACTAATGTCTCCGTCGTGTAGCACGAGTTAGCTGGCCGCAGCGAGTACACAATTAAGTGGTGCATAAACGAGACTTTGGAATTGGATATCCTTATGTCCAGCAAAAGTGTAGCTCCAGGAAAAGCAGTTTTCCGTTCCTAGCCGTTGTTCGTGAAGGGTTCACGGGAAGCAGGTCATGAAACGGCTACGTGAAATTAAAGCAGCTACAGGTAGACTGAGTGCTGTGAGGCCTTCACGCCTTCATCAGTGGGAACCGCCTGATCCTGTTTAAGCGGCAGGATACGTGAAGCCAAAGATCTCTCTCAGAGACAGTTTTTCTTGCTGGTTTTGGTGATATCCCATGAGATACGCAACGACCCATACTTTACACCCTACAAACTTCCTTCCACTGTTACACGCTTTTCAAGGTTTGACGAAACACCCTTCCACGTGGAAGACGCGGAGCGCCGGTGATAACATTATTTCTAAATGTGCTCTGTATCAAAGGCCAAAAGTGGCAAGTATAACCAACAGACAAGAGTGAAAAATCATTAATTAGCAAGAGTCGACCGTGAAATTCCACCTATTTAGCGAGCAACAGGACTAACAGCTAAATCTGATGAACCAACCTCAAATGTATATGGAAATGAGAGACAAAACACTCCGCCTAAGTGAGACCGTACGTATATCGTTCATGATATTGGACTGCTAATGTAAAACAAACGGCGATATTTTGCACCCAAAGATTGATCAGCAACACGTAACGTATGGACTTTGAGTTCGCCCATCAATTTTGAGTTACTAATGGTTTTTTCACTAAGGTGTGAATCTTTGTATAGCTAATCGGACAGTCCGATTACTCATGTATTATCCCCTTGTTGTCCTTAAGTGGTCGCCAGTATCCAAGACGAACCTGATACTCCCGGTGAGCTGGATGAAAAGATATTTATCGCGAGTATTATATCACTAGCTGAGAGACCGAGACGCATGAGGACCAAGGCGTCGTACGTTCGCAACTGGGCAAACAAATTTCAAGAATCATTAGGAAGACCTGCAGTTACCAGAATCCAAAGTATCTTAAAAGTTTGAGGGCTTTAATACCATAACCCAGACCCCGAAAATTAGAAAACCAAGCAGCCATTTGAACAAGGTTTTCATGAAACCATACACAGTATAAGATAGAAACGTGGAAATAAATGAATATATATTGAAGGAAAAATGGAAGACACTGTGGAGGCCTCAGAAAAATACCAACTCGTATATTTTCCATTTTGATTAGCACAAAGACGTACCTTGATTACTACTTCTCCCGCATTCGCTCTTCCCGAGCTCTTATCTTCATATTCCAGGCCCCCGCAATCGATGGGATCTATGTTCATTCCAGGGCTTCCATCTCTGGACGCTGTGTTATGGAGTGATTCAGGAGTAATTGATGATATTGATTTTTGCTCGAGCTCACTAATTAGCTTCTTCTCCGGTGTATGTAAACTGGGCTTGTCGGTAACATTCAATTTCGAAGCTTTCTTCCTGCCTGGTGGTTGGAATCGTGTTTGTCTGGCTTGAGGCTTCTCCGTCTCAGTCACCGTTGAGCCAGTAGCAACAGTGCTTGCTCCGAGAATCTTGGCAACCGAAGCAGTTTTTTTCGGCTATCCAAGACAAAGTTGGGAGAGAGAACTCGAATAAGCAGAGATTGTAGAGGGGTCAAGGTATGACTTTCAACAGTGAACAGAAATGGGTCACGTGAGATGACCCATTTGGATCAGCACCAGCGTGGTGGTATTTAAGCGGTTACAAATTAAGCAAAAGGTACAAAGAATAAGAAGTAACTACAGATAAACCACAAAACTCATTGAGAACACAACTCGACTGATTAAATCGTATACATGATCCACTTATTGGACCAGTTCAGCTGGCCTTAGAACTGCCAATATTTGCAACACAACATCCAGAAATAAATAGCAAAAACACTAATTCTCATCAGGGATTTTCTTCATCGGGAAGAAAGTTGGCTGTGATAGGTCTGACAAAACCCTAAATTAAAAGGCAAAACGCGAAGCATGTGTATAGCTCAATTTGACTTCCTGTTGCAATACAATGAATCAAGCCCGGTAGCTTAAGGATGATTAATTGGTGAATATTATGATTCATAACTGAGTTTAAATAATGATTGGAACTAATAAAAAAATAGCTACGTGCATTCCAACCTCCGCCACTCGACTTCCCCTATCTAGGCTTGGGCAACCTGGCAGTATCCCAGCCCTCGTGCTTCCTTCGGGTGGCATGGCAGCTAGGCACCCGAAAGGGTGCTACAGCTGAACGCTTTATCTTTATCTTTATCAACCCAGGAGGATATATACGAACACCTAGCAAGTAACTGGCTTTGCGCCAAACACAGCTGGTTTTATTGTATCCAGAGGATGCCTATCGGTTAAGCCTGAATTGAGCCTGCCGGACTATGTTGTAAGAACACAGAAGGCCAAGAGCACGGCTGAACTGTCAGCCAAACATACAGAGTTAGTTCCTCGAAAATGTAACTTGGAACCTAATCCTCAGTTAACCACACGTGAACGATCCATTCAATGTACGTTTTACAACACGTGGGAGACTGATGGACCTTATGCTTGCCCGTGTTTTCTCACTAGATTAACGTCCCGGCTATTGCACACTGGGGTAGTGTGTTCGAAAAGGCATCCACGCAAAAATCGATTTTGTAATCTTCCAAAATTTTGGATTGGGGGAGTTACTTCACATCAACTGTTCCTCAGCGTAATTAACTGCTCAAAGAATAAGTATGTGCTCTATTCTCACTCTGATTTGGTAAAGCGAACAATTATTAGTTTCAGTGCTGGCCTTCCTATGGTGAATTTCGGTAGCAATCATAATGTAAATAGGTTAGATTGTTATGGAAATCTTGGATATGTTCCAGATGCTTTCATTGGTTGACGCTTAAAGCCCTGTTTGAACTGATCGATAGGTGCATTGAACTATATCCGTTTTGTTGCTGTTCGTAAGGTACAGATAGGCACGTGAATGCCAGTTCACCTGTTATTCTAACTGGCTCAATCACTATCGGGACAGCAAGGTTGATAAAGAGTGAGCCTATATTATAGGGAGTATCTATTCGGTGTCAGTTCACTGGTGTCAAATTCGGCAGTCAAAATCCGGCTCCACCTCAGTGACGACAGGCCAAATGGCAGGTTTCTGTATTGTATCAGCAAGGATCTTTAGTTTAAAAGTGCAAAATAAGCTGTATGTATGGTACAACGTGGCTCTCTAGTAGAATGATCAAGGCAACGACTGTTCATCAACTAAGGCAGTGGATAACAACATTCTGGTGCTGATATGGCTAGACATTCCAGCCTGACGGTTCATGTATTCGCCAAACAGCGCATATAGACCATCAACCACTGGTTCGTCTAGGGAGGTCAGGCAAACGGTCCTATGAGGACCAGAGTCGTGATCTGCACACCGAAGGCCTGCTGCTACCCGATCACGCCAGGTAATATGTTTGTGAATTGGGGTATTTGGTGCACATCTTAACAAGTCCAACGATCGTGTGTCTCAGCCAAAATTATTGTGCAATTTTCCGTTGTGCCACCAGACTAGGTTTCCCGAAGGATAATAAGGAACAAAAAAGGATATGGTGTAGAGAACAACACGGATGTTAGCGTTATCAAGCTTGATAGTCGAATTCGCTGTCACCTGAGCGGTAGAGCGAACAGAGCTAAAACAGCTGTTGGAAAATGGCTCGTGTTGAGGATTTTAAGTGCTCAAGGTACGGATTCATATCGAAATTACCCCACATCAAGAAGTTACTCTTGATGTTTCCTAATATACATTATTTTCGTATACTGACTTCACCGACTATCACACGTCGATAACTTGTCATATCCACTGCGGTCGCTGCCACGTTGAACAGCAACCGTCAATCAGCTGGACCGAATACCTCGGCTTGTAAGTACAGTTAGCTGTGAAGTGCGACTTAGTAGGGTAACTCAACGGTATCAGTCGTTGAGTGCGTGATAGATCAGTGGTTAGTGAGTGAACTTTCTGACCTGAACGTCTGTGGTTCGAAACTCTGCATTTCGACTGCTTGTCTAGGCTTGAGCAAACTGTCGCACTTGACAGTTCGAAACATTGTGTCTTATTTACCAGGTAACTGAGGAACAAGAAGAACAAAGCCGATAACGTGATGAGTCACTTTTACTTTCGACCGCATTGATTTGCTGTCCTGAGTTCAGCTGTAGCACCTTTTCGGTGCCTAGCTTCCACGCCACCCGAAGGAAGCACAAGAGCTGGGATACTGCAGAAGTTGAGATGCAGAAGCCGGGTTCGAACCACGTACCTTCCGGTCAGTAAATTTGCGCTCTAACCACTGACGCATCTCACCATTTGCAGTGATATGACCCTGAATGCGGCGTGATGAGAAAGTACACAGGACATAAGTTTGAATGACTGATTAATGTGCACGTTGCATCTGTTTCGGTATGCATCCAGGACCATAAATCAGAAGTACTCTACCAATAAGCAGAATCCATCAGTACCGTTTTTCTTACTTCTGGATGCGTGACAGTATATGTGAATGTGGATACTGGATTACACTGAAATGTCCCAATGGCTGACCACTAGTCAGCCAAACAAATGAAGAAGTTTTAAATTTAAACAAAATTTCCGTGATTTACTGTGAAACAATCCCCTATACAGTGTATTTGATCGAACCAGTTTTTCACCTGACCCCAGAAATCGAACGATTCCGAAGAATGGTGCACTACTTCCCCTAATATCGCTTATCTTTTTTCCGAAGGAAAGAAGTCCTCTCAACTGAGCAACGTTAAGAATTCCGATGTCATGTACTCTTCTAAATCACGAAAACTTTACAAGCCGAAGTGCGCAAAAACACACTCAGCCCACATATCCAGTTAAGCGGTCCCGTGAAATCTAAACGTTTCCTTCTCCACACACTACAGTAGAACAGGATGATTAGTTTTGCCAACAGCAACAGAGTGATAGCCGCAGTCAGCTCACAATTATAGCCAGCAGCCAGTGGCCTAAAAGCTAAACAGGTCCCTGAATGCGCAACAGCAATGGAGCCAAGCCAAGAAATTACTTCCTACACACACCGAATTCAGCCGGTCGCTCTACTCTAAATTAAACAAGCGTCCTGCTAGTCCTGTGCAATGCTTTTCGGGTCAATTATCGATAGCACAAAAGACACAAACAGCGCTTCTGGTTGGTTTTCTACGCCCAACTCCATGTGTTAGTCGATCGTCGCTGCTTTGTTTTACCAGTTTTAATAGGATAAATGGGGATGGATGGAGGTGCGTTTCTAATGTAATATGTAATATGGAGTGAAACCATCGTCGAACCAAATTCGGATAACCCGAGTTCAGAAAGATCTAAGCTTGCATTAAACTCTAATCAAACGTGCTCCTCCTTCACGATAAGGACTACTTGTGGCACTGAGCGGGTGTTCGAGCTATGAGACCACTATGGTCCGACCAAATGAATATGCTGCCGTTGTTGAATAATGCCATAGATGAGGGTTCGGCTGAGACTCCACTGCGTCCCCCAGTAACAACATAATTTACGAATAACCCCCGACCAACAAGTAAGCCAAATTTGGTGTTGAGGAAAGAAATTGATAGAAATTCGGGGACTACGCCCACTTGACGAGACCTAACGAGGGGTAAACCGATGTTGGGTTGTCCAAAGCTTTCCCCGACCTAAATAGTATTGTATCGAAATGTATGATTCTTGTTTGTTCTCATCCGGGCTATTGTTTACGATTCTTCCTACCTGGGGTATACGGGTAATAAGCATATTCTGCCCGATGTCTGTGTGCATTAAGCATGTTTGGACGAAACACAGACCTCCATTTTGATTCTACTCGTGAAACTGATGGGAATTTCAGCAACATCGACTGGTCTGACTCATGATCTTGAGCACTAAAATCATTTTGATTGTGATGTCACTGAAATATACTTGGAACCTTCAGGCATTGCGCAATTTGAATAATTTGTTTTTGGGCAATGTCTGCGACGTCTTCGATGGTTTCATCTGAAAACGAGTGTCCGCAAGTGATATACATCCCTTCACGAGTGAACGTTTTCACCCTTTCAGACGTGAGAATTCATATGCGTCCAACGTGCGCTGGCGGAATAGTGATAACACGTTCCCCTTGCATATCAGGTATTCAAGTTCAAACCCTGGCACGGCCATTGGATATGCACTGTTGATTCGCTCTAATAAGAGCGAGAATCGAGTTCAGTGCTTCCCCCGCCCCTTTGATTTGAATCCATCATAATAACTGCGCCAGGACCGGAGGACGAAAGTGATGTGAATGTGAACAATACGCATCCCGCAAACCCCACAACATCTGAGAGTTTGTCGTTGGGATATTAATGGCTCTTCCCTTCAAGCCGCACCCATGAAGAAGAAACAGTTAAGTAGATTCGTGCACTGTGAATAGCAGGAGTCGGAAATGGACATACGACTGACCAACAAGCCATCACCTGTTTACATGTCCCATAGAATATAATCATGCGGTCACTTAGTAAAACTGGTACATTGGTTGCACAGTCTAATGATGACGAGTGCTCAAAGGAATGAGTTATGACTGAGTGAGTAAGCACACCAGCACGAAGCGCTGACGCAAACAGGAGATGAAAGACATGTTCGCACTAGGCTCCTAAAGGTATTCTAATTTAAGTTTTGATCGGATATGTATCAGTTGGTTGTGCAAGGTTCGGAGACAATTACATCAAGTGTCGATCTCCGATGCCTAACCCTTTTAGCTTAATTGATGAAAAAATGCTCATTTCTCTTGAATCCACTTGAGGAATTCGCACAAATCGTAACTACCTTGTTTAAAAAACCACAATAAAGCACTGGTGCTTACTACGGATGCTAGCAACATTGATCATTCAAAAAGTAGCGACCTTGCACAAGGATTAACGGTAGGCTCTAATTATGGATATCAGGACAAACTGACAATTCTGCGCACAGGCTGCTTATGTTACGTTAGGTGAGACCGATCACCTGAGGTTCAAAACCGCCGGATGAGGACCATTTACCTCTCCCATGCATACGACCATTGATTCACATCGTTCGTTAAAAACGCATGTAGGATACCAACCAATGAAATGCTCACTGAGGAGGGTACTACTCCCGTGCTGAACCTTGAACCAAAAACCTGATGAGACCTTTTCCCAGTGGACAAGATACACCTCTGAAGACAATTCAACTATACGACTCATAGAACATTCGGCTCAACTTATGAAGGGTACAACGACGGATGGATTGTATGCAAATTTTTCTGGCAGTGCGCCCTGATTCTGAGTGAGATCTATCTAAATGTCTTATAAGTTATTTGACCTGGCCCTGAAGGTGTTCGCCCTCGACGTAACAGGTTGCAGCTGTTATGAAAACCAACAAGTGAAGTAAACACGTAGTTCCAGCTCAACCTGGAAGATAGATCCAGACAGTGTGCTCTATAATAGAAAAAAACACCAGACCAATATATTAAAGACTAAAACAAGAAACGATTTCAGATAGTTCATGTAGCGACAAACAAAGGAACAAAACGATGCGTCGCTCACCTGGTAGGTAGGTTGGTAACTCAAGGAGTTACCAACTACGCAAACAACTGAGAATCTACGTTAGAAACTCTATGGTTGTCATTATCGTGAGGCAACGAGTTTTTAAATAAACAGACGGAAGTAGAGTTACACATATCAACCATACCAAAAAGGATCAACGTAGAAAAAACGGAAGCTTAACATGCACGGAACGGTCCACCGCAGAAAATGGCAGGAATAAAATTTCATTCGACTGGAACGTGAAAATACACCAACATAGCAACCGTGTTCTTACCCTTTTCAAAAGCATATCTGCATCACAACGCAGAAGGAAGAGAAAGTTGGTTATATGTCGTTCCGCCCAGAATCATTAAGCAAAAGACATGTCGAAGTGAGCAAATGTATTTACATGTGAGCTGAATAGTCACAGAAAATATCAACAAAACTCAGAAGGTAGAAAGTAATGTGCACATGAGGCTGTCTGTTCACTGTCCGGTGGCCTCTAAAATAGCGCCACTGTAACAAAGATCCCAGTAGTGCTCCACATCTCGTTTACGGAATTGCTCCCGGGCAAACAGCTCCGTAGGACACGCTCGAAACTGAACTTTATCAAACGCCCGTTGGCCAACAGTGCCCTGTACAATAAAAGAGGGTGGATATTATTTGGGTTTCAAAGAATGATATATATTGAGAACCAATACTCTAAATGCAACCAACAACCCCAAATAATGCAACATGAGCCAACTGCAAGCAGGAGCAACAACTCATTGAAGCAGACAACTAAGGTGCAGTGTAAACGCATGAAGAAACTCCATAATTTCGCAGGCACAATCACGCGTGTGGTACTGTGGAACCTACAACCACTGTACGATAAGTACGCGGTTATTACAGCTGATAATGATGATGAATCGAGTTGAAGAACCAGTAGAATTTTCCAACACAATCTTGATATGAGGCGATCCATGGAATTACACAAAGATCTAGTATGGTTTCGATTCCAGGTGAAGCAAAACAGTCTCATCGTCCTGATATCAACTATGTTAACTCACATCCCACAAGCGAACGTGTAGATCACGAGGATATGGTGTATTCTGAATAGCTGGCTTTTCGTCAAAATCCCCAAAGGAGTATCAGCCCAAAGGTCGTCAGTCAGTTCAAACTCAACGCTTAGTCTCATTGATTTACATGTATGTTTCAAGCAGCCTTGTCTTACACCACAAGAGGTGGTGAAGTGAGGCGAAAGATCACTGTGTAACCGTCCACAGAAATTCGCACACAGTGCCCTCATCAGGGACATAAATTTGAAAGGGGCACTGTTGATCGCCAAAAGTCGCAAAATTTTCTTACGATCCACAGGGTCAAAAGCAGTCTACAGATAAAGAAAACCGCCCAACGTGGGAAGCCGAAAAGGAACTTGTCTCTAGCTAAAGATATGGTCGCTGCATCCTCGGTCAGAGCGAAACTCAGTTTGAACTTCACCAACCTGTCTCTCCGGGTAATTGATCAACCTGTGCAAAATCATACAGCAGAGTACCTTAGATACGGAGGATAACAGCTTGACGCCACGATGGTTTCCACAAGGGTCCTTTATGAGGACTGAAGTCACTGTCGAGGCAATCTACTCCAATGGTATTCAAACTGTTTTTGTCCCAAATCTACCGTAGTAGGGTCCCAGGACTGTTCACCAAAACCAGAATCTAATGATATTTAAAGCCTAAAAATGAAAACAAAAGAGTGGATGAAGGAGGGGGCCTGATATTGACCTATAGAAGGCATTCGGAGGTGCCTACACCTCCAAGTGCTCAAACTGAGAAGAAACTGAAAACACGAACGCCACTGATATCGGTCAGCTGCTGTTTCTTGCAATGTCTCCAGCCGAGCGCAGCAGAGGTCACGGGGATCCCCAACCTTGCAGGTGCACTGCACCAACACCACCCAAACTCTCTGTAATCTCTTTCGCACCTTTCTTTACGCAATTGTGTGGCAGGCACAGAGAACACTCATCTCGGAAGACGTTTCCGCATGAGAAGCACATGGCCGAGCCACACGAGAGTGATGGGAAAATGGAAAAAGTGTAGATATGCGATAGCTCCAGAAATGTTAGGCTGAATGGGAAGTGAGATGGTGCCCGAAACGTGGTACTGCCTAAACCAGTGTCACCAAGGCAGCTTCCTTCCGGTTACGGCGATTCAATCACCATTTCAATCACATGCGGGTAGCATGTATGTCACGAAAATAAGCATTCTCACGACAGCATCAGCGGGAAACAGGTGAAAGTGGCCTCGAGAACAAAACGACAGTACCTACTTAGTGTGTGCTTGCTATTCAAAACACTGTCAGAAGGATCATATGAAAACGCTCGGTTTCCAACGAAAGTTTCAAACTACAACTATCCAGGATGTGTAAAAGGTACACCAGTGTATGTTGTGTGGCAGCCACATATCAAGCTTTCTCTATAGAGATTGATAGTGGTCAACAAAATACGACTACCCCGGTTCCTCTCTAAAACAAAAACCCAGTAGTTAGCCTCCTACCTTCCAAACCAATTGGCATCCCGATTCAGCGGAGTTCGCGTTCTGATTTCCCTCGTCCCGGCCGCGTTTGGTTTCGTGCCACTTGATCCTATGCAACATTAATCGTTCAAACTTGCGCTGCTGACGTGGACCACCCTCAACCACGACAACATTGCAGTCGGTGTGAAGTGCAACCAAGCCAGTCATCAGAAGTTGATTGGCGTTTGTTTCCACCTTGAAGCGATGCGAAGGATTGGAAAAGTCCTTTACTCTGAAACAAGGAAATAGAATAATGCAGGAAGCTAAACAAGGACAGAAAAACATGTACACCAACCACATGCCCCGCTAAGCGAATCACCGGGAACTAGCGAGAACAGATGACGGATAGAATAGTGGAGAAAATAACATGAGGGGTATTGCATAGAACGGTAATACGCAGTATTCGACAAGTACCCAGCGATTCCAAGGTGGACAGTTGCACGCTGATGTGAAATACTTGTTCAAGTAACTTCTGTTTTTTACGACATATACTTTACACCACCCAAACATTTATTCTATCCTTAACCAATAATGGTCACCGTTTCACATAAAGCCTCCCTATAGCCTCCAAACACTAAAAGTAACTCAGGGGAGCAAGTACTGCTGGGATCGTCGGTTGCGACACTACATTGGAGGCGGGCGATGGTTCAATCAGTCCGACCCATCACGTCTAGAGACCCGTTGATCTATTCTGATGTAATAAATAATCGTTAAAAAAATGATAATTAATTCTTGGGGTTCTGTCGGTGCACAGCTGTCGCGAAACTCGAATGAGGCAAGAGAGTCGTGTTGCCAGGTTACCCTAGCCTGGACTGACTGATAAAACCCAGGAATGTGTTCGAACAATGAACCTCCCAGTCAGCAGTTTCGCACCTTAACCGGTGAGATGTCTCGAGCTCGGTGGGCCCGGTTACCATCAGTTTCTAAGGAGATGGAGTAACTAAATGTTACTATTCCTGTATCCAGTCACCGTTTCACATAAAGCCTCCCTATAGCCTCCAAACACTAAAAGTAACTCAGGGGAGCAAGTACTGCTGGGATCGTCGGTTGCGACACTACATTGGAGGCGGGCGATGGTTCAATCAGTCCGACCCATCACGTCTAGAGACCCGTTGATCTATTCTGATGTAATAAATAATCGTTAAAAAAATGATAATTCAGTCTTGGGGTTCTGTCGGTGCACAGCTGTCGCGAAACTCGAATGAGGCAAGAGAGTCGTGTTGCCAGGTTACCCTAGCCTGGACTGACTGATAAAACCCAGGAATGTGTTCGAACAATGAACCTCCCAGTCAGCAGTTTCGCACCTTAACCGGTGAGATGTCTCGAGCTCGGTGGGCCCGGTTACCATCAGTTTCTAAGGAGATGGAGTAACTAAATGTTACTATTCCTGTATCCATACATCAACCCGTAATTTGAAATGAAAACTGAAGATGAGGTAAGGGCAACTGGCGACTGGGGGGTATAGGGTCCAGTCAAACTGGTGTGATCTGTGCTTTCATACCGTATCCACACTGAACTTGATAATTTATAGATTTTCGAGAAAAACTGCTAGTGAAGAACGGACAGAGTAAATACCACTAAATAAGACGGAAGCCCTGAAGTCACCCACAAAAGTCGGCGTCGTGGTCTTGCTGGTACACCATCGTATTGCACGAAATCTTGAAAGTCGGGCACAACTGTAAAGTGCAGCCGCAACGACCGGAAAGAACCGAAGCGATGAAGGACCACCATGTCCAAGAGGGACGCATCAGGGTGACCGATGCGGACTCAAACCATGGGTTTTCTCTGTGAGGAGCTTCGACAACGTTTATTAGTAAATATTGGTTAATTGTTCGGCGGAATGAGGATTACGCGAGTTTACTTGTACCTATGCCACAACATCGCACATACATCCAAAGAATAGATTAGCCCTAATTTGAAAACGGAGCTCCTGTCGGACCACTTCGCTGAAATCCAACTTATTGTCGTTAAATGAGAGGTGCATGAAGGCCAAAGTGCATGTAATTAAGAAATAAGTATCATGGGAGAATTCTCTAAATCTGTATACAACCCACTACCGGTTTTATCCTGTTTGGGGCTTACTGAGTAGGCTGTTTCTGGAAACTTGGAATTTTCAATTCTGACTTGAAGATCGAGTTGGTTATTTCATGTACTTGTGAACTCCGAGTAACCATCCCATACTATTTAATTGAGAAACAAAAGAAGTTTCATTTAACATTTTCGCAACGGAACCTCGAGACAGCTCGCGTGATGTACATCATGTGACTACGAGGAACTCCAGCGAGTTTCTGGATGCAACAGCTTCATCATACATATCAACTGAAAATGCAAGCATATTTGTTCATTGATGACGATGCTCGCAGGTTCGCTGTGAAATGAAAAGTCGACGTAACACAGTAGTGTTGATTAGCGACGCTCCTTACCTATACACACTGACGTGAACGGCTTGGCTTGTGTCCTCTTTGATCTTTTTGATGCGTTTGTAGCGAGCCTGCTCTTTTGTGAGCTTGCGTGCAGCATTTGCTGCTTCATGGGCTCGTTTCCGAGACTCCATCTGAGCACGAACATACGCCTCCACCTTGCTTGGATCTTGAACCGCATCCGATCCAAGGACACGCATCAAATTTGCCAGACGAACCTGAAGGGAATAGCAAAAGAGTAATTAGTCAAGATTATTAAATCTCTGGGTGACATAATCAAAACTGACTTAAATGACGATAAGAAAGTAGTAAACAGACATTGCTATCTCTAATGACGATTCATTCCTGTTGCGAGAACCATGGTGAAAATATAAAAAGAATCGTCCAGCTGTAACACCCTTCCGGTGCCTATCTGCCATGCAATCTGAAGGAGACACGCCGGCTGGGATATCGCCAGGTCGCCCAATCCTAAACACAAAAAGTTGAGAGGCAGAGGTCGGGTTCGAACCAAGGTGCATCACCCTATCTGTACTACTTGAGTATATCGCAGTTTTGACTTTTTAAAATAACCCGATGTCGAATGCCTGGGTCAGCAGGTTGTCGACGACCTACGCCAGTCGAACCAACACAAGACCAAAAATCCCAACAGCGGTAATCGCGATGCGAGACATTCGAGAAAATAGCCAAAATAACGCACTCAAAATACCTCTTCGAATGCCGGTTCACGAAAGCTGCTGTGGCCTTCCGGATCAGGATGGAAATATCACCTTTCGCGAGAGCACCGTGAATGATGCAGCTGTCCAGGTAGACGAATTCGTTTACTAACTAAATCGGCTCATCCACAAGGATGAGGTTGGGGTTAGAGCCCACTCAGTCTTGCAGTAGCAGTTTACAATTTGCAAGTATGAAATACATACCAAACTGTGAGACAAAATTATTTAGACTGTTTAATATTGCATTACCACGGGGTCAGATCCTGCAAGAGCTAAGCGTGCTCGATATATGTGAGCGAATGACATGAAGCGCTTCGACTCCACAGGCATTGGAGGCTAAGAGTGGATCTCTCGTAATTGTCTAAGGGGGAAGGTGAAAGAGGGGAGCCTTGTATGACATTACTTGGTGTGGTGAACTTACGTGAGCTTCCCGTAGACCAATCATCCGTGGGAGTTGGCATAAAGCATCTTAAGAAGAGTCAAGAATTTCTGGGGAACATCTCAGCTTCAAACATTGCCATATTGTCTGACGGTTCATAGAGTCAAAGGTAGCTTTCAAGTCAAAGAAGACCAACACTATAAGGCAGTGTTGCTGTTCCAGAGCCTGTCGCAGGGTGAAAATGTGGTAGGATACATCGGAAGAAGAACTCAACCTAGAATGATGAACTGGTCAGACTGCATAGGTTGAGCTGGCTTGGCCACATATTCTGTATGCCAATCGACCGACTTCCTGGAGGGGTTCTTTACGCAGATGGGTGGAAACGAGCCAGAGGCGGTCAAGGACTTGGCAGCGAAGTATAAAAACCAATACCAGCAAACTCAGCTGCGCTGGTCACTGCCGTCTTTCTGGATGGGGACCCCGAGACATGCCACATCAATGGTTAAAGACATTGTCATACATGGCTCAGTCGCGCACGCAATAACGCTCGCGTATCCAAGCTATCGCCTTCAGCGCATAGCTCCCCTTCCAATTCCCCCACTTAACAGTCCACTGACAGTGCCGTATTTGCGCAACAATTTATCAGCTACATACCCCACCTCCCTAAATCATGGGTGAACAAAACTGTGGCAGATAGTCAATTTACGACAAGTACGGGGTTCTAACAGTTAGCAGTGATGATGAGATACATCCTCTTGCAGGACGGGACTCGGCTTGGTTTTGACGGATCTGTCTCTCCGTAAGTTTACTAAAGTTTCGAAGGATAAGACCAGAGACGACCTGCGATGCCGCAGCTACCATGCTAATGCCACACAGCGCCTGTGTGCCCTTTTTGAAGACAAGAATAAGTGTCGATATGCCCCATTCGGCAGGCACTCTACTCGATCCCTATCGAACCAATGAGCTTCGTTAGATAGCTCGCGAGGAATTCCCCGCCTTCTTTGAAGAGGACTTGATACAGACCGTCCAGTCCTGATGCCTTATCACGTTTCAGTACGGATATTTCGTACTTTATTTCTACCGACCGGTCATTGAGGTTTACATTCAATTTGCCCGTATGCACTATCTTCAAAGGCTGTTGCAGGAGGCCGGTTAAACAGCTCTTCGAAATGTCCGGCCCATCTTTCCAGTTGATGGTTCTGCGAGCGAATTGATGAGCCATCTTTTTCACATCGTTCCACTGAGCATTGCTTCCCTAGGGCCGGTCGATCGTATTAGTTGATAAACAGTACGGTTATTTCGGGTAGTAAAAGCCTCCTCCGTATCCTGGGCTTTTGATATCCACCAGAGCTGACATTAGGCTTTTCAATATTTGGCGCTCGATGAATCTGCGTGCGCCGTCGTACTCGTTGCCTGCCGGTATGGGTTTCCTGACATCCGTCAGGATTAGAGACCCCGATGGTTTCCAGTGGTCATTTGATTGTATCGGAGTCGGACAGATAGCACTGAAGGCCGCTAACATAGATCCTTTCACATTCTGTCATGCTTAATCCATATATTCGCTACCAGTACGGTATTGGTTTACGGCGGGGGGGGGGTTGGGCGTGCTCAGACCAATATTGTTGAGCTATGATAAGTTCTTCTGATATTGTGGAGTAGCATGCTTCTTGCTGACATGCAACGGTCTGATGGTAAACGAACTGTCAGGCGCTCACGCACCATAGCGTGATTGGAATCAAATTGTGTTCCCCAGAAGGAAAGACAGCCTTGAATTGTGGCTTTCAATCGGTGTCTGATGGCCACGTAGACAAAATGGATCCATGGTTGATTTGCACTTGGTGGTTGCCAGGTTACGTGAAAATGACCCAGCAACGCTTGTTTGTGTAGTGGAAAGGGGCTGTGGAGGGGCATCAGTGTACACAGAACTGTGCGGGCAAATGATACTTCCCGGTTGCTCAGGCTGACGAAGGGCGTTTGGTAGAGGTACCTTATCTTGAACCTTTGACTCAAAAGTCTGACTCCCAAGGCAGTGGGATGATGTAGGGTTTTGATTGAGGACCCTTCCCCTAACCTGACTTAAAAGTCTGATACGCGAGGGAGTGGACAGTAAGGTTTACTTTAAAGACCCTGCCCGGAGCCGATGACTCCATAGCCTGACCTGCTCGGCTGCAGAATGTTGACCTAACCCGAGGACGCACAGGGTAATCATCATCATCATCATTGTCAGCTGTAAGAACCGCTTACTGGTCGCACACTGGTTGTAGCTGCCACAGTTTCGTTCACCGATGATTTGGGGGAGGGGGGAGGCAGCTGCGCATTGCACGCGCGAGCTGGTAAATTGGTACATAAATCTAGCACTGTCAGTGGGTTGTCAAGCGGGGGGGTGGAAAAGGAGCTATTCATTGAAGGCAATAGCTTTGATGCATGAGCGCCATTGAGGGCGCGACTGGGCCATGTCTGATAATGTCCCTAGCCATTGATGTGGCCCGTCTCGGGGTCCCCATCCAGGAAGACGGCAGTGACCAGCGCAGCTGAGTTTGCTGGTAATGGCTTTCATACTTCGCTGCCAAGTCATTGTTTGACCGCCTCTGGCTCTCTTCCACCCTTCACATGGTTGGGCGAAAAGAGCCCTTCGAGGAAGTCGGTCGACTGGCATACGCAGCACGTGGCCAAGCCAACGCAACCTGTGCAGTGTGATCAGTTCATCTATCGAGGGTGAGTTATTTCTCCCGAATACCATTCGAAGTACCTCAGAATTACTGATCCGGTGTTCCCACCAGATTATGGCAATACTCCAAAGACACCGATGGTCAAACACTGAAATTACTGATCGTTCCCACCAGATTCGGGCAATGCTCCGAAGACACCGATGGTCAAACACTGAAAGTCTTTTGACGTCCTCGGCGCGCAGCCAGCGGGTTTCTGATCCATATAGTAATATGGAGCGCACCGCAGC